AGTTCATGTTACCATACCACATCAGCACAAAGATATAATTGTCAATTCAAATCCAATAGTAGAAGAGGTAGTAAAGGTATTAGAAGTAATCGGAGAGGTTAGGATGAGAAGATATTATTCATGAAGTATGATTAAATGAGAAAAGTTTAGAAAGTCAAAACTAGAGGAGTTGAAGAATCCAGAAGATTAGGATTTGAGAGAACACAAACAATAAATGCACCGGCGCCATTGCGAACGATTTTGAGCCATGTCATTCAGCGTCTCTAACCATCGATTATTATCATCTCGCGGACTCCAACCAGGTAGTCGACAATTACCGACATGGCTCAGTCCACTAGTCAATGACTTCATGGATTTCTGCCATGTTTTGGTTTGGTCGCCTCTAACTTTCTTCCAACCTACTCCTACACTACAAAACAAAGTTCGTCGAGGCAGTCGGTGGTTAGGCATACGTAACACATGTCCCAACCACCTCAACTGATGAAGTTTCACCACTTCATCTATTGATCTGCCATCCTTACCTAATACTCGTTTCCTAACGACAGCATTGCTTACTCGGTTGTCCCACGGTATACGAGCAATGCTTCGAAGACACCTATGATCGAAAACCAGTAACCTACGAATATCTTCTACTCTCACTGGCCATGTTTCACAGCCATAAAGTAAGACGGAGCGAACTGCTGCGCAGTACACTCGTCCTTTAGTCAGCAAGCGGATATCTCGCCTACGTCATAAGTGACGCAGGTTGACAAAAGCCAATCGAGCTTTCTCTATCCGAGCTGAGATTTCGTCAGACACCAGCCCATCGGCACTGATGAGACTCCCCAGATAAGTGAAGCGGTCTACACGCTCGACTACTTCACTCCCTATCACTAGTTCAGGTGCCGATGAAATCCAATCTTGAAGCAACATTTTGCATTTCGAGGGTGAGAACCGCATCCCGAACATGCTTGCATTGTTGCTTAGGGTAGTCAGAAGACTCTGCATTTTGTCAGCATGTTCACCAAGTAGGACAATGTCATCGGCATATTCTAAGCCCCAAATACTAATAATTATTTTGTTACGATTTGATTCTACACAACTGTCAAGCTATAGATTGATTTGAAATTATTGTGTCGACAATATACCACCTTCTGCTTTTCTACTTTCTACCCTAAATTACTTACTTACGCCTGTTTGAAAGTGACGAGTTTAAAGACCGTGTAAAACAGTTTGGCATCAAGAGGATACGAACTACACCGTATCATCCTCAGACAAACGGGCTTACAGAGAGAAACAACCGGACGTTAAAGGAATTGTTAGCATCTAAAGGAGGAGATTGGGAGAAAGAGTTACCATAGATTTTGTTGGTGCATCGTTCCTCCATACAAGGAACAACCAAGAAATCACCCTTCTCGCTCATGTATGACAGACAACCGCGACTTCCATTGCACAATAAGACCTGGCCACAACAACAGAAATGGACAACAACAAGGTTAAGAAAAGAGAGGAGGGAGGCAATCAGGAACGTGGGAAAGAAACAAATATCAGACATAAAGAAGGCGGAACAACAGAGGAGAACGTGGAAACCTTTTGCAGTGGGGGACCTAGTAAAGTGTAGAGAACAAAAAAGTAACATAGCAGGGGGATCAGGGTGGGGAAAGCTGATCCCAAAGTGGGACGGACCGTACGTTATCACGGAGAGACGTGGCGCGGTGTACACGATCCGGAGAGAAGACAAGCAGAAGCGCGTAAATGCTAGTCAACTGCAGAGATGGTTTCAAGATTATCCAGTGTATGAGTCACGAAAAGCACCAAAGAAGACAGCGGTACGGCGATCAGAAAGACTACGACGACAGCTTATTAAAAGGGGGGACGAGTGTGGTGCTGTGGAGCGAGCTACTTATAAGTAGTATATGACGTGAGTGTGAACGTAATGTCTGGCAGCAGAAGATGGGGGAAGATCAAGAAAGGAAGAGTTAGAACACAATGGAATTTGTATGAAACGCATGAATAGTAGTGACAATGGATTGATATTTTGCAACAAGAACAGTCCAGTTCGATATGATGAACTGATATTTTGCAAATAAACGATTTACGATATGGTTTTCCGATTTTACTGAGTAACTTTGTAATTATCGTTAAATACAATCCGGTTGCCCCACCTGTGTTCTCGTTCACTACCCTAAATACCTAACCTAATTTGGACATAACTAACTGTACGTTGCTAATTTTTTGTTTTTCGAAGTCTTTTTTTTGTTGCTAATTGGATCAGGAATAAGTCGAGTAGTGTCCGAGTAAATTAGTCTTTTCTCCCTCTCTCTCTAGCTTGCTAGCCTGTACAGTGATTGTATAGTTTACATACCTCTGCCCAACTCCGTTTAGTCACAACTGAACTCATATACTGTAGTGAAAGAGAACACAGGTGAGGGCAATCGAATTGTATTTAACGAAAATTACAGAGTTACTCAGTAAAATTGGAAAACCATATCGTAAATCGTTCATTTGCAAAATAACAGTTCATCATATCGAACTGGACTGTTCCTGTTGCAAAACATCAATCCATTGTCACTCACTATTCATGCGTTTCATACAAATTCCATTGTGTTCCCCCCACCCTTCCTTTCTTGATCTTCTCCCATCTTCTGCTGCCAGACATTGCGTTGACACTCACGTCATATACTGCTTATAAGTAGCTCGCTCCACAGCACCACACTCGTCCCCCCTTTTAATAAGCTGTCGTCGTAGTCTTTCTGATCGCCGTACCGCTGTCTTCTTTGGGGTTTTTCGTGACTCATATACTGGATGATCTTGAAACCATCTCTGCAGTTGACTAGCATTTACGCGCTTCTGCTTGTCTTCTCTCCGGATCGTGTACACCGCGCCATGTCTCTCCGTCTCTGACATTTCACTGTTCATGCCTTCCATTGTTTTTAACTCTGCCTTTCTTGATCTACCCCCATCTTCTGCTGCCAGACATTACGTTTACACTCGCGTCATATACTACTTATAAGTAGAGCGCACCACAGCCTGTACCTCTGCCCTAATTCGTTTAGTCACAAGTCAACTCATATACTACCAGTTTCGAGGTTAACTATCTAGTCGATCGCGTCAAGACCTTTAACTAGATTGAAACAAGATTAACTTCAGGAGAAGTTAGCTGAAATTCTTACTGATATACTATTACTACAAGGGATTCTGATACACACAGGTTAAATGTTGGACGAGAAGCGTGAGTGAGATTAGCCAATCTGGCCGAAGATCTTTAAGTTACTTGTATTAAAATAGGTACTGATAAGTTATTAGTTATATTTAGGACAGATATAATTCTCCAATCTACTGTTATACAACTCACATCGATCAGCTAAGACTAACTCATTACAACATGTCTGAAAGAAAGATCTTGTGCGCGAACACCTAACCTCTGGTTTATGATTTCAATCTCTATAAGTTTGTATTGGAAAATCAGGAACTAGTTAAAGGTCAAACTCATCGCCATGTCACCAGGTTTCAAAATAGTAATTAGGAAACGATTCTTTATAGAACAGATAAATTGCCACTAGCGGTAGAGCTCCGCCTGCAGTCCTTCTGTGGTTACTCTACCGGTTACAAGCTCAGGTGTTGAGTATAGAGTTAGTTACCGACCCAATCTCGTATAAAATCCAACTTGCTAACCAGAAAGAATAATTCACTGGACGGTGGTCTATGCTCCATTAGAGGTAAGTGGGATGAACATCAACTCTGAGACGAGTCCCAGATTCGATTGCTAGCGACAGACAGGTTGATTGTACATCATCTGGAGGTCAATCACTTGTCATTCTTCACCTAGGAACTTGTGGTTCATTGATAATTAATTGTTCCCATTGAAAGATATAGATAGTATCTCGTTTTCCGTTCACATTCATGCATTTGGTATTTTGGAAAATAATTACGAAGATGTTTTCGACATTTCTGTTAACCATTACTTTGTTATACATAACAATTCCAATGTGACATTTTGCAGTTTTATGGTATGTAGAGAATACCAAACCACATTGAAAACAGAATGAACAAGAGGTTGCGCATGTGTGTGTGTGTGTTAGGATATTCATCCAATATCCTAAGAGAATTATTACTGGTCAAATCCTATTGGTTCATTCCTACTGGTCAATTTTATGGTCGTCCTACACATCAATGTCACGTGCTCCAAATGTTGTTTCTTATTGGTTGTCCAACTATCAATGTCACTCCAAATATTGCTTCCTATTGGTCGTCCTAACTGTCAATGTCACAGACTTCGATGATGTTTCCTATTCGACCAAAATGTATATATACGCATTATCTGTAACGTTTTATGACCACGACCGGGAGCCGGATCCGTAGTCAGGGATCCTGATTCTCTTCTGGATTCGGACCCCGTACTTTCTGGATGCTTGTAGAATACAGGTTCTACTCCATATGAAGTCTTGTCTTATTTTTTTTACTCAATATGGGGGTTGGAATAATCGGATTAGAGTAGCATGTGGTGTGTCACCGGATCCTCGCTCTCGCGTTTCCGACTAGGTAAACTCGTAATAGTTCAAGTATCCATATCAAGTTGACGTTATCGTGTAGGCGTAAAAGTGTGTGTGTGCGCGTATCAATGAACAGACACGAACAGAATGACCAGATGTGTGCGTATATACAACGGTAAATTTCAATTGTTGTAAATAGAAAAGTGTCGGAGCCCCATGTGAGGCTACTGCCGGTCCCAAGCCCAGCGGATAAAGAAGGAGGGTTGGGCTCGGGGGTTAGCGACCCCCATCATACAGGAAACTAAGTCGCTGAATAAAACGCCAATTAGTAGTATGTACTATGTATTTATATATATATATATATATGATAATAAGGTACATGATATAAAGTATACACGAGAGGAGAATATGAGAAACAAATATACATTTACATAAATATTTATATATATATAAAGAAACAGTGAATTTTACTCTTGAAAATAGTTATAGTAATAATAATAATAATAATAAACATGTTTTTAAATAATATTAACCAGAAAACTTCCAAATGCATACTAAATTATTATCTGTCACAGCAACTAAATACTGTCCATCATGACTGATATCGGTGGTATTGACAACGGGATTTTTAAATCCTGATGTAATACTTTCTTTAATTTGATTATCTTCATCTTTTGCTCCACCGATACTACATTCGGGCCATTCAAGTATCTATTTTTGAACACAGAAAAGAATATAAATAAGGGGGGAATAAAAGTTTGACTTAGTAGTTACATAGAATTAATCCTCCCTCTATTGTTGTCAAGGCTAATTTTACATTGGTTTTTGAGGAGAACGAAGGAGACTATTACCCACATGTTAACAATGCTGTGGTGCAACCCCGCACAAGTGGTAACTGACACGCTTCTGGACCATTCACTAGTACATATATATAGTGATTATTTCCGATGCATGCACCGCATGAACAGGCCAATTCGACCCATCCCGCTTACATGACTATCAAACTCATTATTAATTAGCAATGGTGATATGCAGCAATACATCACTCCGATATGGCCCTTGGGAATTTAGCAAAACAACCACTACCAGTAGTATCAATGAAATCGGTCAACCTAAAAACCAAAGTTGTATATATAGACTGTTAGCAATACTTGTCAAAGCAATGCCAAGCCATCCTTGATGTTCACAGAGAACCTCTAGTCTCATAGGAGACCTTCATCTCTATATAGTAGCAGTATAGCATAGGATAAGATAAGAGATGCAGCCCAACTTGACATGCAAACAGGCTCAAAAATTCTTATTACCACCGTTTGTCTCATTTCGGGTAAGGACTTTTTCACAATACCGATATATTTTTATTTTGCGACCGTAAGAGACCTGAGTTATGATGGGGTAGTGTAACCCTGAGGTTTTTGGATGTGATTTACAAAACCAAAATAGAGAACTGCAGCATAACTTTTAATACCTACTAACCCTAACCTTTTGTTTCCACATAGCTGATCTCAGTTAGTGTCAAGGAACTCTATGGGACCGTAACATTACTATTCATAACGCTAGGCCAAATGTTAATCGATGAATTAAACCCTTTCTTTCCATTAACAAGGAATAATTCAACATATGAGGGATGATTATTTATTCATCAGATCAAAGCTATTACTCCACTAATAGCTTTAGGGGCTTTTAGTTGTTGATTGTTTTATAACTCGACAGTGCGTTCTGATTGAGCTGCTCCACTGAAATCTGTGGAAGACAACAAACCAGATTCTTCTGGTGTAGGAGGAAATCAGGAAGAAGCAGTGGAGTTGGTGGATAGGACACACACCACGAAAAGCATCCGACTGCGTCACAAGACAAGTCCTCACATGGAACCCTCAAGGCAAAAAACGAAAAGAGGAAGGCCAAGGAACACATTATGCCGAGAAATTGAGAAAGATATGAGAAGAATGAACAAAAATTGGACAGAACTGGAAAGGGAAACTAAGGCCAGAGTTGATTGGAGAATGGTACTGGTCGGCGGCCTATCCTCCATTTGGGGGTAACAGGCGTAAGTAAGTAAGTGTTCTGATTGGCTGATAGGTCATCACCGCTTATCGTCGTCAGTATATATTATTACTTTGATCGAAAGTTTTTTAGAAGGAAAATAGTATTGGGAAGTACACAGAGGGAAAGAGGGAGAGAGAGGATGACAACTACCCAAGACATCTCACAATACATTTCACAATCTGTGAAATCAAAAAGATAACTGACCAATAATATATATAGAAAGAGTAAATTCTTATAATTTACCTTTATGGGTTTTGATTTAAATTTGCGATTTTCCGATTCTTCTGCAACTTGTTTTTGTAGATCATACAACCATATAGTACCTTCATTATCCCCACATATAACAGCATTTAAACCAGGTCTAGCTGTAACATTAATATAAATTTCTTCAGTAGTATGCCAACGTAATTGACCACGTATTTCAACATTGATTACTTTTCTATTGGATACAACACCACGTTTACGACGACTGACAACCTATAAGAAAAAAAAAAGATAAATCAGCATATTGTCTAGAATGACAAAAAAATCACTTACCTGTCCAAAATTAATCACATAAATTTCACCTTCTTCAACACATTTCGTGACAATTAAATCATCGGACAATTGAGCTAATCCATCAAAACATGGTTCACGACGTGTTGGAACTTTTAATTCGATTTCAGCCTCTCTAAAATACAGACACATAAACACACATACATACACATAGACGCATGAAAAACAATCTAACTGTCAGAAATTACAGTACAGTACATAGTAAGTATATCAATGGAAACAGAAGAGAAATAGTGATCAAAAGAACGGCTTAATTTTTTTGTTTTAATGTGTATAAAAATGGATGATATACACTCACAACAATTAGTTCATTTACATAGCTTTAATAGACAGACAGACAGACAGATAGATACAACACAGAACTTCGTATGTATGTAAGTACATCACAGTTCAGGTTGCCATACCACATTATTAGCACACAGAGACGCAACTGTCAGTTCAAATCCAAGAGTGATAGCAATCATAGAAGTATTAGCAGTAATGGAGAAGACTAGGGTTTGAAGATATTATTATTCAAGAAGTATCATTCAGTCAGATAAATTTAGAAGGAGAAAGGTAGAGGTGCTGACTAATCCAGAAGATTTGGACTTGAGAGAGCTCAAACAATGGATACACCTGCGCCATTGCAAACAATTCTGAGACATGTCATTCAAGGTCTCTAACCATTGGAGACTATCGTCTCGCGGACCCCCAACCAGGTAGTCTACATCTACCAACATGACACAGTCCACTAGTCAGTGACTTCATGGATTTCTGACATGTTTTGGTCTGGCCGCCCCTAGCTTTCTTTCAATCTACTCCTACACCACAAAACATAGCTCGTCGAGGCAGTAGTCGGTGGTTAACCATACGTAACACATGTCCCAACTACGGATGCACCTGCGCCATTGCAAGCGATTCTGAGCCATGTCGTTCAAGGTCTCTAACCATTAGTGATTTTCGTCTAAATGGTTAGAAAGTTACCAATAGCTTTAAAAGGAAAAGTGTGTAGGCATTAAGAAAACTCAAAACATCACAGTGGAGTTTCGTTTCCCCTGAGCTACAGTTTGTGCTGACAATGTTTTTCAAAAGAACAATGAAAGCTGCATAACCAAAACATCCAGTGCATATGTATTAGTTATGGATTGCCTATATACAGCAGTCATTAGCTTACAAGTATTGTAAGCTGAGAAAGATAATGGCTGGCAGCGACATCTAGGACACGCGGTTCGTCTTATTTGAGATTCTTCAGCTAATGCCATTCAAACTACCAATATAAATGAATTAAAATTCACCGCACTGAACAAGCAGGTGGCTCTATCTGGAATCAGAAACTAATTGGATGACGAGATAGTGTTTAATGCAAACGGTACACTAGGTTCGAGTCGCGGAGTGAACTTCAACTATGCGGTGATATTATCAATTTTGTTGAAGAATTGATAGAATTAAACCCGTTAATAACGATGGTAGAAATTCGAGAAAAGATAGAAAACATATTTTCTATAGGCCTTTCTCTTGAATCTATAATAAGAAGGATAATTTATAGACTTCAGATTACTTTGAAAAAGATTTCTTATACATCGGTCAATATAAATTCGGAATCCAGTAAAAACAAACGCCAAATTTATGGTCAAAATTTTATGAACATTGAAGATACCATTTATAAAAGTTTTTATAGATGAATCTTCTTTTAATTTGTACTTAACAAGAACCTTGGAAAGATCTACAAGAGGAAAACCGGCAAGTGCCCTAGTTCCATCAACGCGTGGAACCAATATAAGTTTAATATCGGCTATAACAGAAAATGAAGTTCTCTTTGCTAAAACATTTGTTGATTCGGTGAATTCAGATAAGTTCATTCAGATTTTTGACCAACTAATTGAAAAATGCAATCAAAAATCAATTTTTAAGAATTGTATTTTTATACTTGATAATGCGAGGATTCATCACTCAATTATCACAAAAAACTTTTTTGATGAAAAGGGAGTAAACGTTATGTTTTTGTCTCCCTATAGTTACATGCTTAACCCAATCGAATTCGCGTTTTCGAAAATTATAAATCCATTGTAAGAAGATCTCTGGCGAGCGGATCCAACGAATCTTTTATAAATCTAATACTAAATTCTGTAAATCAATTAACCAGGGATGATTTACAAGGTTATTCAAGACACACACGTACGTCACAATTGTTTAAAAGCGATTGCTAAAGAAGATTTTAATTAAAAGTAGTTCTTATTTTATTTTTTCAAAAAAATTTTAAAATTTGGTTATTTTAAAAAACCCTGTTAAAAGTTTAAAAAACGAATTGAAATACTATATATACATCAACAATAAAATATCACACATTTGAAATCATCCAATCAATCATTGTTAGACCACTCCATTAGAAACCTGTGAGAAGCACTGAAAGTCGGCTGTTTCGTCCTGGCATGCGACTCATCAGCAGAAGTGCGCATCCACGACTCCTGCACCTCGTAGGATTCGAACCCAGGACCTTCAGTGTTGCGTGCAAACACCTAACCTCTGGGGCATATCAGATTGGATTTACCAAAAGGATAAACACATGAAAAAATGAACAATAACATACTTCTCATCACTCAGTTTCTCTTTACGAAAATCTTTCAATGTCCATGAAAATATTCCATCTTCACAACCAGCAACAAGTGAATCGTATTTTTTTAAAAATACAAGATTTAAAACAGGATTTAAATTAGCTCTAGGGCATACTAAACGCATTAATAATTGATGACGTGTTTTATATTCCGGTGCAGATGGTATACCAATATCCCATACTAAAATACAAGACTACAAGAGAAGAAAGATATTAAAAAAAGATGAACACAATCAAAATGATGAGAGGATTACTTAGTTAAAAAATATAGGCGATAATCAGTCAGTAAGCTCTACAAAGCAGAACTTCGTATGTATGTCCACGTTGCCATATTACATTCGTACAAAGAGATATGGAATTGTCACAGTTTGAATCTCATAGTAGTAGAGGTTATTATTTTTATTATATAAATTTACCCTATATTGTCAAGGGAGCAATTTTACATTGGTGGTTTTCAGGAGAACCAAAGAGACTGAACGGACACGTTTTACCATTACTACATGAATAGTTCGGCTCAATCCTGTGGTGCAACCACCTGATACCCTGGTGGACCATTCACACCATTTACACATATACACACAATGGTATATATATTTCCGGTCAATGATCACGTCGTCAATCAATATGCACCGCATGAACAGGCCATTTCGACCCATCCTGCTTACATGACTGTCAAACTCATTATTATTAGCAATGGTGATATGTACTACAGCAACCCCGATGACAATGGCCCTCGGGAACGTCGCAAAACAACCACCAGTAGTATCAATGAAATCGGTCACCCTGATAACCAATTTTGTATATGGACTGTTAACAATGTTTACCAAAGCAAAGCAAAGCCATCCCCACAATATTCACAGCGAACCTCTAGTCTCATAGGAGACCTTCAGCTCTATATAGCAGTATAGCATATGATGTACACATATATGGCGCAGGATAGTAGAAGAGGCAGCCAAGCTTGATGCAAATAGGCTCAAAAACTCTTATTACCGACCTTTATCTCATGTCGGGCAATGATTTTTTCGCGTTTCCGAAATTTTCATTTTTCGACCATATGATGAGACCTGAGTTAGGGGTAGTATCCGTGTAGTAGTAGAAGTAGTGGAATTATTAACGGCAGTTCAAAAGATTAAGGATTGAAGATATGTTTTGAGAAGTATAAATTCAGTGAAACAATTTTAGAAAGAGAGAAAGAGGTTATGAGGAATTCAGAAGATTTAAATTTAAGAGAAGACGTACATGCACCATTGCAAACGATTTGAGCAATGTGATTTAAAGTCTCTAACCACCGACTATGATTGTCTCAGACTCCAGCCCGGTAGTCTATACCGCCACTAGCTAACAACCCCTGAAAAGTCAGACGATGAAATATGTCGTCTCTAAAAGCAAGTCAATGACAAAGTTGAGTAGGACTGAAGGAAATGGACAGACTTAACGAGTACCATTTGAGGTAATCAATTCCGATGATAGTTCGTCATGAACTCTTATTCGACCAGTAGTATTCGAGTAGAGAGCCTGTATGGGTTAGTGGATTTCTTTGGTACTCCTTCCAGTGACAAACACAATGCCATAGAACCTCACGATCAACGGAGACGGTACAAATGGTGTGGACCTATTAATGGTCACTATGAATAAGACCGCGACTTCTGATGTTGCTACCCTGTCTTGTGCGTTAAACCTTTAGGTTAAACGCTCTTGCAGTGCTCTCCCTCTAAGAAAACCACTTACTTCTGACTGGACACCCGGATAGTAACCTGATCGATACACAAACTCAGTGATATGTGGTGCATAAATATTTAGGTACTGCCAGTGTACCAATAATTATAAGTTTAAATAAATAAAATGTAGCGATATCATAAAAATAGTAGATGCATTGTTGTACATGAACGAGTACAAGTTTTAAAGATAAGTATAACCAACACCAATGTCAGAATTTTTAACAGTAAAGTCAAGACAGTTCTACTGTTTAGGGGGGGGGGTAATTTGGAGAACTACGAAAGCTATCATCCACAAGATACAAGTGTTAAGTAATAGTTGTCTATGAAAAATACTCCGGATCAGTTGGCCAGACACCATCAGTAACAACCTAGAGTGGGATAAAACAAACCAGATAGATCCCAATGGAGGACAATATCAGAAAACGTTGAAAGTGGATAAAAGCGCCCAACCACGTCACAAGACAAGCCCTCACCTGGAACCTTGAAGGCCACAAAACATATTACATTACACCGAGAAATGGAGATAGGCGGCATATGTGAGGAATCAACAACAATTGGATAGAACTAGTAAAGGAAGGTCTAGGACAGAGTAGGTTGTGGAGAATGCTGGTTAGCGGCCTATGTTCCATTGAGGATAAACAAGCGTAAGTAATCAATACACTGAATGACGCCCAATATCTTTCTACTAACAAATAAAGTATCGATTAAAATAACAGAAAAAAAAGTGTATTTCGAAGAAAAAAAAGTGTATTACCTTAGAATCACCGGAGAATAAAATAGTCGGCTTGTCAGGATGAAATATCATACAAGCAACATCATCTTTATGACCACGCATTTCTGCATAGCATACTAATTGTTCCGGATGTAATAAACGAATTTCACGTAGTTTACCAGCAGCAGCTAATAGATTAGTTTTATGACCTGCAGCCATTTCAACTGTTGTCCAAGCTAATGTGTAAAATTCCTAGGAAAATTTAAATATCACACAAACACACACACACACAGAATTATTAATGTCACATAATACAACAGAAATATCACATGTCAACTCCAGTTTATAAAGTTCAAACTTTTTTTTAATCGGATTAAACTCATCCAAACATATATCGACCGATTGGATAGATAGAAGAGTTTACATCGAAATATATCAACTTAAATTGATTTAATTTATCATGAATAGAATAAAGAAAATGTCAATGAATAAAACACAATTGAAATCATCAATCAAAGATTGTTAGACCACTCCATTAGAAACTTGGAAGCACTCAAAGATGACCGTTTCGTCCTGGCACGGGACTCATCAGCAGAAGTGCGCATCCACGACTCTTGCACCTTGCAGGATTCAAACCCAGGACCTTCGATCTTGCGCGTGAACGCCTAACCTATCGAACACTAAGCTTGCATTCAACAGTGTTACTGTTGACCCAGTGGTCCAGAGGTTAGGCGTTCGTGTGCAGGACCGAAGGTCCCGGGTTCGAATCCTGCGAGGTGCATAAGTTGTCGATGAGCACTGCTGATGAGTCCCTTAGCAGGACAAAACCGCTGTCCAGTGCTTCTAGGTTTCTAATGGTGGTCTAACATTCTTTGATTGATGATTTCAATGGGCAAATAACTCTAATCTCCATAACTTCAGATGAAAAAACACAATTAGGTATTAGGAATGATAGGGTTGTGGAGATTGGGGAGTTTCGTTGACAATGTGAGGTGGTGATCAATGTTAGACTACCATTAGAAACCTGAACGGCTGTTCTAGTATTGAAATAATCAGCAGTGTTCGTCCAAGACCCGCGTATAATGGGGACTCGAACTCAGAGCATTCCGTTTCATGTATGAACGCTTAACCTCGAGACACTAAGCCGGCAATCTCCAGAACCCAATAATGACAATTATCATATGCTCACAAATGACTAGCTTAGTGAAGAAATTATCCAAGTTCTGGTGAGAAGCCATGACCAGTGGAGTTCAATAGTGTCGGCTTTTAGGCATTTTTACCCACTGAAGATAATGTGGATGAGGGTGAACAATATCGTAGATTGACTGAAGATAGACAATAACACCGTTGGATGCCAACTCAGTGGTGGTCTAGAGGTTAAGTATTATTGCGCGAGATCAAAGGCCGATGGTTGGATCCTCACTCGCACACTACTGATGAGTCCCGTACTATGACGAAACCGTTGTCCAGTGCTTCCACAATTCTAATAGAGGTTTAACACTGATCGATTCATTATCGCAATAAAAAAAAATTAGTTCAAAGTAACTGGAAAAGTAAATCTTTTAATCATTGACAATGTTCAACTCAATAACTATTAGTTTCATTGTAGACCATGATAGAATGGTTTGTCTTACAGTCTTCGTCTACCAGATCCGATAGAGTTTAATTTATCTGAGCAGTTACTCAAGATCTGAGGGCGGAGTCGTATTGCTGATTGTAGAGGGGTGTTATGACAGCAGTAAGCTGTTTCCCTCGGACAACCAGCATCTGCAGCGATGCTGCCTTCTAACAAGGAAGGAAGGGTTAGAAAAGGTCGACCCTAAAAATGTCACACCTCACCTTAACTCACGGATTTCCGTCTCCGGCGGTAAGACCATATTTAAAGAGCACAGCTAACATTATACAATCTTCCCAGAAAAGACCGTGCGTGACTGGCCTCAAGCAACTATACCTTAGACTCTGCGGCCACGATCAACTCTTCTTCAAAAACACCCTTCAACGGTGTGGGTAGCCGAGAAGTGATATCCGCCCTTATACCTATAACAGCACACAAGACCATATTTGGTCACAATCAAATCCTTCCTACACCCCCTAACATCTCCACGACTCACCCTTCTCACATCTCTCTTTATCACTCAGCCCTGCTAATACAAACGAACCCAATAAAAAAAAATGAGAATGTTCAATCAACACACTTACTTCACCGAAATGTTTAAATCGTTTCATGACACGACCAGATTTACAATCAATCAGACAAACACATTCACCACCACATGTAGCTACAATTGTTGAGGTTTCATTGGTTGGATTATTCACACTTGGCTCGAATGCACAACGCCATACTTTTGTTTCACAATCCAACGGATCATTATCACGTGCATGACATCGAATAAAATGCAAAGGATCATAGTCAACAATCTAGAGGAGAGAAAAACAGAAACAACCGGAAACAACCAGGAACAACAATCACCTATAGGATAATGACAATAGTATAAAAAAAATCATATTTTTTCTGATAAAACGGTATCCAGTTTAGTCAGCTACGTGCGTAAGTACATCAGTTCAAGTTGTCGTATTGTGGTGCGAGCTACTTATAAGTAGTATATGACAGAAACAGCCAGAAACAGAAACAACCAGGAACAATAATACCTACAGGATAATGACAATAGTACAAAAACAATCATGCTTTTATGATAAAACAGTATCTAGTTTAGTCAGCTGCGTGCGTATGTACATCAGTTCAAGTTGTCATATTGTGGTGCAAGCTACTTATAAGTAGTATATGACGTGAGCGTCAACGTAATGTCTGGCAACAGAAGATGGGGGAAGATCAAGAAAGCAGGAAGAGTTCGAAGAACACAATGGAATTTGTATGAAACGCATGAATAGTGAGTGACAATGGATTGATGTTGTTTGCAACAGGAACAGTCCAGTTCGATATGGTTTTCCGATTTTACTGAGTAACTCTGTAATTTTCGTTAAATACAATTCGGTTGCCCTCACACCTGTGTTCTCCTTCACTACAGTATCACCACCACATTAGTACAAAGAGATGAAATTCTCGATTAAAACCGTATAGTAGTAGAGATAGTAGTAACAATATTAGTTAGTAGTCGTGGAGAAGATTAGAGTAGTAAAATAAACCAATGATGGTACACAGCAGTAGTGGATGAAACTCATAAAGTCGCTGATAAGCAGTATGCACTGGAGTATCACTGAGAAGTTCCTACCAGAGAGAGAAGAGCCTGACGTGGTTAGCAGATTTTGAAGATCAGAAAGAAGGGATGTGAGAGAAGACTATTAATAATCAGCTTGGATTTTTAAATAGATGATTGAAGTATACCAGCAAAAGAAAAACTCAGAACAATTCAACGATATACATCCGACAATCACATTCATAAGTGAAGATGAGTGTAACAACAAAAAGCTGAATTTCATTCAAGTCATAATAAGCAGATGGAATGACGACTCGTTAGGTAGAAGCGGTTATAGGAAAAATCCCTCTGCTTGTCAATATATTCACTTTTATAGTTTTACATCTATCATCCATTACAAAAGAAAATGTCTTACAAGCAGAGCGAAAATGATCTGCTTAGTAGATAATTTAATTAAGGAGCTGGAATTTAACAACAACTTACTGACAGACATCGGCTACCCCAGCGCGTTCTTAGAGAAATACGTGTAAATGGTAAAAAGAAGTCGAAGACTTTGACTATCCGAAAGTAACTTCTATTCGGTAAACTACAAGTGAAAGGCCATGTGGCTAGCGATGTCCTGCATAATAGATTAGGGAAAGTACTAGGTAGGACATTCTACGCAGTCAATAATGAGTTCACTTTTCCAAGTCAACCGGTGATGTGTCTATTCAAAGGAAGGATAGGTTGCCTGAGTTGGCTGCATTAATGTACATTTACAAATTCTGCTGCTCCTATGGAGATGGCTATATCGGACATATCATCAGGTAACTTAACCAACGAGTAAGTGAACATCTCCCTGCATGCTTTAAAGAGGGTCAGATAAAAATAACACACAGTTCTATCTTAGCAGACCTGATTGATATAGATAAATCTGAATCATTTCAAGTGATCTATCGTATACACCTCGATCACGTCCTAACGGAGTTCAATCCCGTCTCTCAAAAAAAAAACAATTACGTAACAGAAACAAATAATACGGGCAAACTTGTGATAACAAAACATTGAAATTATTAGGCAAATTTGTAACATACTTCACCAAGTTGACTGAGGCTTCGTTTAGTTTCTATTGTTGGTTCAACAATTGGAGTAAGATTAACAGATACTGAGGAGAGTGGAGACAGTGTAGTAGGAACCGATTTCTTTTTAGGCTGCGGTTCTTGAGGTTTCGGTGTTACTACAGTACGTTTACGAGTAAGTGTTTGACCAGTTGCTGGAGTCTCAGGTGTGTTATCAACCACTGGAGGTTCAGTATGTTGTACACGAGGAGTTTGTGATCCAGTGGGACGTTTACGTTTTTTCTTTGTACTCTCTTCTTCATTGTCTTTTGAGGAAACAAGAGATTCTGCTATCTGGTCAATTTCAGTTGAATTCAAAGATACAACTGGTTGAGGAATTGGCTGTTTAGTATTTTTCTCTATTACTTCAGTTTGTTTTGCTACAGCAGCGACAGCTTCTGCCACAGCAGTATCATGTTCAGAGAGAACAACAGAGGAATCTTTTAGAAGAGCTTCTGGACTCGCCATTTCTTCATCTTCTTGGGCTAAAACAGCAGCTAGCAGAGCTTCTTCTTTACCGGCTAAAGCTGCTGCAGTATCAATCACACCATATGCACTAAATCGTTTATGCCGATTAGAATCACGAGTTGACATACGCATCGTGGGTGGTGGAGGAGCATGAGGTGGAGGAATAGTCACATTCTTTATTAATTTTTCAGTTTCTGCAGCCTCTAAATCTGCTATGGATGGTCTACAGGAAGACAAAAAAAAATTTGATATCAAAAATTAAGATAAACTATTTTTTTTTAAAGAATTCGAATTGATGAGATATGTAAAAAAATTTGTGGAAAAATAGAAATTGTATGTAAAGATATATTCGTTATTCAGCTGGATGGCAATGAGAGCAACAATTGAAGAAATAGTAGTTCAATGGTTTTGCATTATACTATCATGGAGGTCATTATTTCTACACAATGAAATCATGAATGAACCATTTGTTAGACCACCACCATTAGAAAACTGGAGGCAGTCAGTCAGTCAGTCAGTTGCAACGTAGAACTTCGTACGTATGTACATAAGTTCATGTTGCCATACCACAGCACAGAGACGCAAATGTCAAATCAAATCCCATAGTGATAAAGATAGTAGAGATATTAATGTTTATAAAGAAGACTAGGGTTCGAAGATATTATTCAAGAAATATAATTCAGTGAGATAAGGTTAGAAAGACAAAGGTAGATGTGCTGACCAATCCAGAAGATTAGGATTTGAGAGACCTCGAAGAATGGATGCACTTGCGCCATTGCAAACGATTTTGAGCCATGTCATTCAAGGTCTCTAACGATTGGTGACTTTCGTCTCGCGGACGCCAACAAGGTAGTCTACATCTACCAACATGACTCAATCTACTTGTCAGTGACCTCATGGATTTGTGCCATGTTTTGGTTTGGCCGCCCCTAGCTTTCTTCCAACCTACTCCTACACCACAAAACATAGCTCTTCGAGGCAGTCGGTGGTTAGCCATACGTAACACATGTCCAAACCACCTCAACTGATGAAGTTTCACCACTTCATCTATTGATCTGCCATTCTTACCTAGCACCCGATTCCTAATAACAGCGTTGCTCACTCGGGTGTCCCACGATATACGAGCAATGCTTTGAAGACACCTATGATCGAAAACCAATAACCTACGAACATCTTCTACTCTTAACGGCCATGTTTCACAGCCATATAAGAGAACGGAACGAACTGCTGCGCAGTACACCCGCCCTTTGGTTAGCGAACGGATATCACGCCTACGCCATAAGTGACGCAGTTTGGCAAAAGCTAATCCAGCCTTCTGTATCCGAGCTGAGATTTCGTCAGTTACCAGGCCATCGGCACTGATGAGACTCCCCAGATAAGTGAAGCGGTCTACACGCTCGACTACTTCACTCCCTATCACTAGTAGTATTTGATTCTAACTATGGCAGATACTACTCATAAAGTGGCTGACAAGTAGTATGCACTGGAGAGTTGCTTAGAACTTCCTACCAAAAACATCGAAATACATTGCATCATCAGAGTGTATTTTGAAGACTGAAGGAAATGTGAAAGAATAAAGTCAAGTTAGTTTTCCACGGGATGAGGTCGTTAATCTCATGCCCAACCTTTCTTCTTTATCCAGGGCTTGGGATCGACAGTAGCCCCAGAGCGGTTTCCAAGCGACGTTTTTCAAACTTGCAAAGGAAACACATATAGCTCAAATTCATTTAGCTATATTACTTAACTTAGCTTGACAAGTACTGGACTTAAATAGCACAGGCTTTTTTTCAATTCGAAAACCCCTTTCTGCGAAGTTATAGTACAACAGAAATATGAGCTGACAGTCCTAACCCAAGTGCCTTCAACAAACATGATAATTCAACTAACTAACTTCCTGTTTGAAAAAAAAAAACGGAACCGAAGAACTAGATTAAAACAAGTAAAAGTTTAACTGTCATTGATGAAAAATGGCCTACGCTGGCTAGTTGAATATATGAGCATATGAACACATACTTTTTAGCTGGACTTGGAGTAACTGCAGGACGATTACGTTTGTTGACAGAGATTGGAGTGGTCGGTTTCGCTTGAGTAGGTGCTGGTGGTGCTGGTGCTGGTGCTGGGGGTACATTTGCAACTATATAAGCAGTACCGGAAGAACTTGTCGATGGTTTAATAATATAATCGGAAGCTTTCAATCGACGTTGAGTTATTGTAGGAATACCACCTGGAGAATTTGTCACTGATGTTTTGCATATTACTGAAGAACCATGTGTATCTTTGATTTCATTAGAAATACTATTTGCAGCACGACTAAGTAAACCTGGTCTTCGAGTTCCGGTTAATTGTTTAGTTGTTGATAATTTTGTTATGACAGGAGTAGTTTTAACAGTTGTTGCAGGAGGATTAATCGGAGTAGATTCAGGAAGAGAAGTATTCTCTATATCACTTTCATCATCCATATCTATATAGAATCAAGGGAAAACATAAGGCAAATATCATAAACTTCACACATTACCTATCACCAGATGAAACAGTCACAATAAGTCAAAGTGCACGAAGAATCTGTGGAACCTATGAAGAACAAGATGTAGAGACAAATGAGTTGAGTTATGCACCTGCGCCATTACAAATGGTTTTGTAAGCCATGTCATTCAATAACTCTAACCATCGATTACTATCATCTCGCAGCCGCAACCTGATAGTCTACACCGACTAAAAAAGGCTCAACCCAGTAGTTAGTGTCAGTCAGTCAGTTGCAACGTAGAACTTCGTACGTATGTACATCAGTTCATGTTGCCATACCACATCAGCACAGAGATATAATTGTCAATTCAAATCCAATAGTAGAAGAGGAAGTAAAGGTATTAGAAGTAATCACAGAGGTTAGGATTCGAAGATATTATTCAAGAAGTATGATTCAGTGCGAAAAGTTTAGAAAGTCAAAACTAGAGGTGTTGAAGAATCCAGAAGATTAGGATTTGAGAGAACACAAAGAATAAATGCACCGGCGCCATTGCGAACGATTTTGAGCCATGTCATTCAAGGTCTCTAGCCATCGATTATTATCATCTCGCGGACCCTAACCAGGTAGTCGACAATTAGTAGTTAGTGACTTCATGGATTTCTGCCATGTTTTAGTTTGGCTGCCCTTAAGATTTTTTCCAACATAGCTCAACGAGGAAGTCGGTGGTTAGCCATACGCAGCACATGTCCCAACCACTTCAACTGATGAAGTTTCACTACTTCATCTATTGATCTAACATTCTTATCTAGTACCTGTTTCCCTAATAACAACACTGGTTACTCAATAATCCCAAGATAAATGAGCAAAGCCTCAAAGATAAAAAGTAAAACTCAACACTAACCTTCATGATGACTTTTTAAAGTCCCATCAATTTGTGCACTAGTTTGAAGATTAGTCGTAGTAGTAGTAGTAGTAGCTGTACCAAGGCCACCAACAGGTATTAATTCACCATCTGGCTGTCTAGCAGCAGTTCGCATTACTTCATATACAACAGTTTTTCCATGACGTAAAGCTTGACCAACAACATTAATAAGTCGATTAGGCGGTTCATCCGGTAATAAGGTTAAATTCGCCGCAGCAGCTAAAGCTTCACGTTCAGCAACAGATTCTTGAGAAGTTTCAGTTGAAATGATTATTTTCTTTGGTTTTTTACGTATTGAAACTTTGGACATTGAACAAGAAGAGTTTAATTTTTCTGCAGTCTCTGCTGTCGTCAGTTGATTATCAGATGATTTATCAATATGACTACTATTTTCTTTACAATATGAATCATTATCTACTTCTTCTTCTTCCTCGTCTGTATCTAAGTCACTATCACTGACAGCACCTCCTTCATCATCACTAGTATACGTGGTGTGTGTAAATTTATTATCCAATATTTCATCTTCACAATCATCGTCTAACATTTTTGGCGCGAGAAAATCTTCCGCAATTCGACGAGCCTATATATGAATAAAAAAAATGTTGATAAAAACTGATAACAACAACTGGGTGAAGAATTAACTTGACAAGTATGAATTATACAACAACTACAAATCTTATCTATCTATCAATCAACAACAGCAACGTAGAAATTCATACGTACGTAAGTACGTACGTACAGCAGTTCATGTTGTCATACCACATTATTAGCACACAGAGATGTAATTGTCAATTCAAATCCCATAATAGTAGAGGTAGTAAAAGTATTAGCAGTAATCGGAGAGATTAGGACTCGATGATATTATTCAAGTAGGATCTGGTGAAATAGACTTGAGAAGAAAATGATGAACGTGATGACGAACTTTGAAGGTTAGGATTTGAGAGAGCTCAAAGAGTGGATGCACCTGCGCCATTGAAAACGATGTTGAGCCATGTCATATAGGGTTTATAACCATCGATTACTATCATTTCGCGGGCCCCAACAAAGTAGTCTACACTTACCAACATGACTGAATCCAGTTGTCAGTGTCTTCATGGATTCCTGCCATGTTTTTGTTTTGCCGCCCCTAGTTTTCTTCCAAACTACTCCTACACCACAAAACAGCTCGACGAGGAAGTCGGTGATTAGGCATTCGTAATACATGTCCCAACCACCTCAACTGATGAAGTTTCATTACTTCATCTATTGATTTGCCATCCTTAACTAGTACTCATTTCCTAACGATAGCATTGCTTACTCGGTTGTCTCAGGATATACGAGCAACGCTTCGGAGACACCTATGATCGAAAACCGGCAACGTACGAATATCTTCTGCGCTAACTGGCCATGTTTCACAGCCATAAAGTAGGACGGAGAGAACTTCCTATAGTCCCTTCGGAGCTACTGCCGGTCCCAAGCCCGGAAAAAGGAGGGTTGAGATTAGGGTTGGCGACCCCATCTCGCAAAAAACTAACACGCTAAAAAAACGCCAACAAGAAAAAACAATTCAAACCATATAAACTCTGATCTGGGAAGAGTTATGACATCTCATAATGAAAGCCGAGTTTCCTCGGAAGTCACGAGGCCGATGCCTATTCTGACAACCAGAACCCATCCACGGCGTGGACAACCGGGAAGTAACATCCACCCTCATACCCATCATAAAGGCACAAGAGACCAAATCGGTCACTACTAAATCTTATCAATCGTTACTTACCAATATATTTTTACAATGAGTAAATGGTTGAGGTATTTCTAAACTTCGATTGACAGCATGTAAAACAAGAGTTTCGATGACACAGATTGTATCACGTTTTGGTAAACCTTTTTTATAAAATCCAGCAATATCATCTTCCCATTTTGAATAGATCTAAAAATAACAACACAACTTTATAGATAGATAGATAGAAATGTACAAAAAGAATTGAAACAGAGGTTTGTATCGGTTTAAAACAATTCAGGAAGCTTTGTTTCGCTAGTTTCTACATGTAGGACAGATGCATTGATCATTGAACGAATATTAAATTCTTGCTTATCAAATGATATAAAATTTTACGATCTGTTTTTTCCATCCCGTCGAAAAACTAACTCGCTAAAAAAAACGTTCAAGATAGCCCTCAGTAATACGCTTCAAGCCTTTCACGGTCTATTCAAATGGAGAAGGGATCAAGGAGGCAATCATTTCAACAAGTCATGAGGTTTAAGGTAACAAGAAGCATCACCATAAGGAATGGATCTCAGTGATTCAAGAAAGGAGAATCAATATCAGACAAACAAGAGCACAGACATCCAAGGCACACGCTGAATAGGCAGAAACAAACAAACAAATGAAGGGGAGCATCAGAGCTGACAAACACAAATATGTGGAAGATCTAGCAACGACAGAAAGAAAAAGCTGCAAGAGAACGAAACATGCGGCAACAATATGATACAGCACCAAGGTCAAGATTTTCAGTACAAAAAATGGAGGACCACGAAAGTCATCATTCAAAAGATACAGATGTTTATTAACAGTTGTCCACACAAGATACTAACGATCCTACGGCCAGACACCATTAGCAACAATCTACTGTGGGATCGAACAAACCAGATTCCAGCAGAAGAATAAACCAGGAAGAAGCCCTGGAGGTGGATAGGACACACATTGAGGAAAGCATCCAACTGCGTCACAAGACAAGTCCTAACTTGGAATCCTCAAGTTGAAACGAAAAGAGGCAGACCAAAGAACATATTGCGCTGGAAATCAGAAACAGACATGAGAAGAATGAACTGGAAAAAAAAGTGCAAGACAAAGTAGGTTGGAGAATATTGGTCGGGGGCTAAAAAGCATATTGCACCGGATATCAGAAGAATGAATAGTACATGGAAACAACTGGAAAGAATAGTACAGGATAGAGCTGACTGAAAAATTCCTGTTGGTAATCTATGCTCCTCCACGAGCAGTAGCAGGTCAGTCAGTACGTAAGCTGAATGAGACTCATGAAACTACTGATTATTGACAGTTGACAAGTTACAAGCTTCAACTATTTTGACAAAATCACAGTTCACTTACTGGTGGTCAACATAGATCGTCTTTTCAAGAATATTACGTTGCGTTGCGTTAAATGGTTCAAAGAACATATATATAGAGAGATGATGAGTGCTGTAATAAGTGAATTTAGAGATTTTAGAGTTACCATCCTACTAAATCGGTTTTTACTACACGCACAAAAAAAACTTCAAACTGAAACAAAATATTTTCAAAGATATAAATTAAGAAAGAGTACACACCAAAGTTGATAAATTATTTTTGGCAGTTTGAGCTGTATTGACAGTCTCTTCACTTGGTTCATCGACAAAATCTTTACTGTTTATAGTTTTCAAATATGGACATAAATAGGCCAATGATTGTGGAGATAGTAGCTAAAGTATAAATGAACAGAGAGAAAGAGAGAGAAAAAAATAATTACTGACGATTAGTGTACAAATAAATAATCAATTACGGTGTATGTAAACAAGTCTACAACCGGTAAATGTATGGTGTGAGTAAGATTGTGGTGCTGTGGTGCGAGCTACTTATAAGTAGTATATGACGTGAGCGTCAACGTAATGTCTGGCAGCAGAAGATGGGGGAACATCAAGAAAGGAAGAGTTAGAACACAATTGAATTTGTATGAAACGCATGAATAGTAGTGACAATGGATTGATGTTTTGCAACAGGAACAGTCCAGTTCGATATGATGAACTGTTATTTTGCAAATGAACGATTTACGATATGGTTTTCCGATTTTACTGACTGAGTAACTCTTTAATTTTCGTTAAATACAATTCGGTTGCCCTCACCTGTGTTCTCCTTCACTACAAGATGAATATAAAACAGGAATCCATTTTAACAAGCACCATATGATATTTTTGGATTTAAGAATCAGTCGATGAAGAGGATGGATATTAAGATCAGGCAAATAACCGGAAATAAAACAACAAACGGTGAAAACTAAATCAATCGTATTGTCTTCTCGAGGATGAGAAGCGAAAATCCAATGAGCCTTAAACCGAATTGTTGGGTACGGACGATCTGACTAAATTAGTTGGGAAACCCTCATATTTTAAGCCAACAGTTTATTTACATGGGATCTAGGATCCTCAAGGAAACAAATGGCACATGAACTCATGGTTGGTCACCAGTTACCATGAGACTATGTCTCCGGACAAACTAATTAACCTTTTCTCGCAGAGTTCGACTCTGTCAATCATTCACTCATAACTTGGTTGTTTTTGCTTCAGTGTGTGTGTGCACGCTTACTTCGCTTACTAGACATGTCTAGTTTATTTTGTCCGACTAGATGCTTCATCGCAAAGAGTTGGCTCTTCGCCTTCAAGATTTCGTTCCGCTTCACTTGTACGAAAATTCAATTCATGTCAAGACTTTGCTACAAACTAATTCACCATGTGTTAGTGGGACATAGATGGAATTAAAGCATGACTACGTTGCTACGCGCTGATTGGCTAATTTCCTATCCAATCAGCGCCCGATTGATTCTTGGAGAACAGGGTAGAAAATTCTCGTATTGTTAGCTGCGTGCTGATTAGTTAAATCTAATCCATTCGATTACGTGAATTTCTATCCAGAAGCTTCTCATGTAAATGCTATAAATAAACTAACGTTGTATGTATTTTTGCCTTCGCCTTCGGCTCTTATTCCATTTAACCTTTTCTATTTGGAATATAATCTTTTCCTGTTCAACCGTGTTCTTGATTCTTGGGAACTTGTCCAGTGTATTGTGGTCAGAGAATACTTAGCAATAGGATTTAGCTGGGAATTATCTAAGCAAGCGTTAAAAACACCATGGATGGATCATACTCCCAAAATGAAGTGATCAACACACTTGACTACTCTATATTTCTGATCATTAGTTCAAGAACTGACGCAGACTAGTCCTGAAACATTTTGCACTGAGATGAAAACTGAACGCATAACAAACATCCTAGTGTGGCGTGAGCTACTTATAAGTAGTATATGATGTGAGTGTCAACGTAATGTCTGGCAGCAGAAGATAAGGGAAGATCAAGAAAGGAAGAGTTAGAAGAACACAATGGAATTTGTATGAAACGCATGAAAAGTAGTGACAATGGATTGATGTTTTGCAACAGGAACAGTCCAGTTCGATATGATGAACTGTTATTTTGCAAATGAACGATTTACGATATGGTTTTCCGATTTTACTGAGTAACTCTGAAATTTTCGTTAAATACATTCCGGTCGCCCCACCTGTGTTCTCGTTCACTACACTAGCATTGTTGCTTATGATGGTTGAAAAATTTGATTCTTCAGCGTCTTCATCAAAGAGAACTATGTCATATGGGTATTCAAAGTCAATAAAGAAACACATCCTGGCGGAAGAACAATTCCTGATAAGTTAGAAGATGGAGTGTTAACTTCAAAAGAATGTCTCTGACAAAGTTCAATAAAAATAGCCAAATGAGAAAACCCGGACAAACAACATTTGATGCTGACAAGGCTGATTGAACAGTTGTTTTCAAGTTTTATGAAAATGACAAAAAAATACGCTACTGAATGATGATAAAATTAAAACCATATCATAAGAAACTAGTAAGGTAAAAAACAAAAACCAAGCAACACTTACAACAGCTAGTTCAGGATCCAAATCCAACGTGACAAGTCTTGGGAATTGTTCAACAAGTGGTGGTTCAATTGGCATACCACGTTGTGTAGGTCGTAGTAAATTTGGATTTCCACTTAAATTTAATCGACGTAATTTTGGCAAATGTAAACATTGTGGGAAAGCATATAATGCATTGCCAGAAAGATTCAATTCAACTAGATTGACACATTGATTTAGATGAGCAGGAACTATGCCAGTGAAACCACAATTACTTAAACTATGAAGAAATAAGCAATACAAAAAAAGATAAAACAATTCAGAATAGACTAGTAAATCTCAGAAAATAACGATCCTAACAGTGGAATGGCACTACTTCTTGAGAAACCTGGAAAAGAAGTTGAATTAGTGTTAGTCTTAGAGACCTGGGAGCATGATCGCAGAGTTCAAAGTACAACTGTGCTTGAGGCCGATCGCGCGTGGCTTTTTTATGAAGAGTTGACATGTTAGCTCCGCTCTTCAAATGGCTTTACCGCCGGGTGACGGAAATTCATGGGGTAAGGTTGAGGTGTGACATTTTTATTGTCGACCTTTTCTAATGCCATCCTTCTTTGTGAGAAGGCAGCATCGCTCGATCTTGATTAGTTGTGATTGACCTTAAACATATCGTCGGCTGCACTTTTATTTTGATTGTATTCTCCTTTTGATCTGTTTCTTGATCCTATGTCACTTATGATTTTCCTGATTGGTTGATAAATTGGGTCAATGTCGATGTGTTTGTTGACTGCTGCTTGACTTGAGTGCCAAGCTTTCAGCAATTCTCTAGCGTTCTTTGTACTCTCACTATCCAGTATTTCCAGATTGTTCCAATCGAATGTACGACCACAATCGTCCGTATGTATTGATATAAGCGAAGAATTGTCGTGGCGTTTGACTGCTAATAGATATTCACGCAAACGAAGCTGAGGAGGACGTCCACTTTGTTCTATGTAGTGTTTTTCACAATCTGAGCAATTTATTTTGTAGATGATATTGGGTTTTTTTTGTCATTTTGTCCTTTGGTCTACATTGGATTGATTGAAGGGATTCCGTTGGTTTGTGTGCCACACCTACTCCAAATGACATCTGTAGTCGTCCTGTGAGTTCCGATATGTCTTTTATGTATGGTAGGATGATCCAATTATTGGTTCCTGTACTTGATTTCGCTTCTGTTGATGTCTTTTGATGAAGTTGCGTAGATAGCCGTTCTTTTGGAAGATGGTCTCACAATATGTTTTTCCTCGTTTTTTATTGCTTCATAAGTGCTGCAGTGTGTCTTCGTTCTCTTGAACAAAGTTTGTATGCAGTTGATTTTGTGGGTTCTTGGGTTATTAGTATTGTAGTTGATAATTAGGTCTGTGTGAGTTGGCTTCCGAAATACTTAGGTCTCCAGTTTTCCTGCGTCAGTTCTGGTGATTAGTACATCCAGGAATGATAGACTTTTGTTTGATTCCTTTTCTATCGGGAATTTCATGTCATCAAAGACGTTGTTGATCCTACGGTACATGTTCTCCAGCGCGTTCCTTTTAATAATGACAAATGTGTCGTCTACATAGCGAACCCGAAATTTTGGCTTGATCACTGGTAAAATCGACGCTTCTAGTCTCTGCGTCACAGCTTCCGCGATGACGCCTGATATTAGTGATCTCATTGGTGTTCCTTTTGTCTGTTTGTAGATTCTGTTGTTGAATTGGAAATACGTTGTTAAGCATAGATCGATGAGTTCTAGAAGACTTTGACTCTGAAGTTTCGTATATTTTTGGCAGATTTGTGTCGTTGGTGAGGCGCAGGGATAGAGTTCCTTTAGCTAAGTTTATCTCTAAAGAGGTGAAAGATATCATCAATTCGTCGTTGTTGATTTGAATTCCCTTGAATTTATACAAGAATTTTGTGATAGACTTAATCAAGCAGTTAGATGAATTCACAAAATGTTTCAATATCCTTGAAATTTCTCTTGATAAGTTGTACGTTGGGGTTCCAGTGAGGGATACAATTGGACAATGGATTGCTTCACAGAAATCTAATGGACTCGTAATTCCACGATTCTACAGGAGACCGAAACTACACAAACCTAACATTCCACTACGTCCACCACAATTGTATGGACTATGCTAATGATACTTGTCTGGTTGTTTAAACAAATTAGGATTCCAACCGGGGATTGATCGATTGAATGTTGAAAGATCTAATGATTAAGCCCCACCATTTTATAAAATTAAACAAGACCATTATGAGAAAACACTCCTACTGAATTCTGCTTATTTTGAATTTAATCAAGACTTGAAAGTAGTAATAGAATTGACCTACACAGAATTCAAAAGAGCAAAAGAGCATTATTTTATTCGATTTCTACTTACTTCAATATTCGAACTTTTTTCAATGAATCAGTTCCAGTGGAAATAAATATTGTAATATCATCAACAACATTATTGCATTCTTGACAAGTTAGAACAAGTGATTCACATTTAGCTATGTAGGTGTGTATGGAAAAAAAACAAGAGATAGAGAGAGAAAAAATAAAACACCAGTATTATTATGTGGATGGTAGCTTTGTAAAACATCGATAAGATGCGAACATATATAACCACACCGGAGACGGAAATCCGTGAGGTAAGATGAAGTGTGATATTTTTAGAGTCGACCTTTTCTAACACCCTTCGTTCCTTGTGAGAAGACAGCATCGCTGCAGATGTTGGTTGTCCAAGGGAAACACCTTACTGCTGTCATAACACCCCTTTTACAATTAACAGTACGACTTCACCCTTAGACCTTGAGTAGCTAGCTGCTTTCAGTCTCATCGTTTTCCAATCGACCTGCTGGCATGGTAGAACCTACAGGAACCTATGTTCCAGCTAATATAACTCGGTTGGGTCATCACGATAGGCTAGCCTGACCACCATATCAAGGTAGCAGCTGCGGTCAATTTTTTGTAGTTTATATTACAAACTGATCGTAGCTGGATACCTTGAACATGCGCACCATTGAACTCTAGCGCATAGGTCGACTGGTTAATCATTAGCTGGACGAAACCGAAGGCTTTCAGTATAATTCTTCGTAAGATCATATAGATGACCACTCCTTGCCTTCAGGTTTCCAGTAGTGGTTTAGTTAAGATTATTTCGTGATATATAAACTATAAAAATCTTACAATAACCATAACCCTTACAAACATACTTTTCTCTTTTTGTTGTATTGTAGTGAACGAGAACACAGGTGGGGCAACCGGATTGTATTTAACGAAAATTTCAGAGTTACTCAGTAAAATCGTAAAAACCATATCGTAAATCGTTCATTTGCAAAATATCAGTTCATCATATCGAACTGGACTGTTCCTGTTGCAAAACATCAATCCATTGTCACTATTCATGCGTTTCATACAAATTCCATTGTGTTCTTCTAACTCTTCCTTTCTTGATCTTCCCCCCTATCTTCTGCTGCCAGACATTATGTTGACGCTCACGTCATATACTACTTATAAGTAGCTCGCACCACAGTATTACGTAGACTTTAAGTGGTTTTAACCAATAAAACGTGACATTCCTTTCCATCACCTTAGATGACAGATTCAAATATCACAAATACCTAAATCTAACACCAAAATAGACACCGTATACACACTAGGCAAGAAGTATAAGCTTATATTTTTCTTAAACACAATAAACCTACTTGAAAGAGCATCTGTATCACTTTCTTCCAGGCTTACATCACAGCCAGAATCTGGAGAATCACTACCATCAAGAGGATTAGATAAAAGTTGTTCTGCAGCTGAAAGATCAAGTTCAAGGAGTTGATCTGAGCAATAAAATCGATAACCACCACCACCAATCGGTCTGAAATCAAGGATAAATTGAAAATTAATAAGACGATTCTAATATAAGGGTCAAAAATCAATCAGAAGGAAAACCCTTACTTACAATTTATCTGATGTCGGAGTATGTGTAAATAAACATCCGGAATTTCGTACCACCTTCTTTGCTAATTCAGCAAGTTCTCGTCGATGAGTAAGGAGACTTGGTAAACCTGAAGCCAAATAAGAAGCAGCTTCATTACAAGCAACTTCATATGGAGTTAGTACAGGTATAGGTGTAGATCGTGGTAATCCTGCTACACTTGGCGGTTGGATACCTCCAGGTAAACGTCCATACAATGCAGCTGCTTCACGAACACTATCCAATCGTAACTCGTTGGATACAAGTGATTGAATTTGACTAATATGATCAACTGATGAATTACCAGTATGATAATCAGAAAGTCCTAAATTTTGTGCTGATAATTGTCGAGCTTGATCCCAACAAGCACGTTCTATATTTGTACAATCAGCTTTTTGTTTAATTTGCAATTGTGGCATATCTGATAAAACATCAATGGCGGCAGCACGAATAGCTTCCTCTTCGTTTGGCAATAGCTAATAAATACAAAAATTTATTATTTTTTAACTATTAATAAAAACATACTGTTTCTTTAAAACAAATAAAGATTTTATCAAAAAAATAATACAAATTCGTTGGGTTGTTTGTTCATCAGTAGACCATAAATTTAGTCTTGAAGCAACATTTTGCATTTCGAGGGGGGAAAACCGCATGCCGAACATGCTCGCATTGTTGCTTAGGTTGGTCAGAAGACTCTGAATTTTGTCAGCGTCTTCACCGAATAGAAAGAACTATGTCATCGGCATATTCTAGATCAGTAAGCGAATTTCCTGGTAGAAGGTCAACCCCGGAAAAATCTGACGAGCTTAATGTTAACACTAAGAGGATATCTACGACAAAGTTAAACAAGAATGGAGAGAGTGGACAGCCCTGACGGACACCACTTGATGTAGAGAATTCACATGACAGTTCGCCATATACTCTCACCCGACCAGTGGTGTTCGAGTAGAGAGCTTGTATAAGGTTAATGTACTTCTTTGGTACACCTCTCAATGACAGACACTGCCACAATGTCAGTCAGTCAGTCAGTCAGTTGCAACGTAGAACTTCGTACGTATGTACATAAGTTCATGTTGCCATACCACATTATTAGCACAGAGACGCAAATGTCAAATCAAATCCCATAGTGATAAAGATAGTATAGGCATTAATGTTAATAAAGAAGACTAGAGTTCGAAGATATTATTCAAAAAATATAATTCAGTGAGATAAGATTATAAAGACAAAGGCAGAGGTGCTGGCTAATCCAGAAGATTAGGATTTGAGAGAGCTCTAAGAGTGGATGCACCTGCGCCATTGCAAACGATTTTGAGCCATGTCGTTCAAGGTCTCTAACCATTGATGACTTTCGTCTCGCGGACCCCAACCAGGTAGTCTACACCTACCAACATGACTCAGTCCACTTGTCAGTGACTTCATGGATTTGTGCCATGTTTTGGTCTGGCCGCCCCTAACTTTCTTCCAACCTACTCCTACACCACAAAACATAGCTCGTCGGGGCAGTCGGTGGTTAGCCATACGTAACACATGTCCCAACCACCTCAACTGATGAAGTTTCACCACTTCATCTATTGATCTGCCATCCTTACCTAGTACTCGTTTCCTAACAACAGCATTGCTTACTCGGCTGTCCCACGATATACGAGCAATGCTTCTTAAACATCTATGATCGAATACTAGTAACCTACGAACATCTTCTACTCTTAACGGCCATGTTTCACAGCCATATAAGAGAACAGAACGAACTGCTGCGCAGTACACCCGCCCTTTGGTTAGCGAACGGATATCACGCCTACGCCATAAGTGACGCAGGTTGGCAAAAGCCAATCGAGCCTTCTGTATCCGAGCTGAGATTTCGTCAGTCACCAGACCGTCAGCACTGATGAGACTCCCAAGATAAATGAAGCGGTCTACACGCTCGACTACTTCACTCCCTATCACTAGTTCAGGTGCCGATAATGCAACCCAGTCTTGAAGCAACATTTTGCATTTCGAGGGGGAAAACCGCATCCCGAACATGCTTGCATTGTTGCTTATGGTAGTCAGAAGACTCTGCATTTTGTCAGCGTCTTCACCGAATAGAACTATGTCATCGGCATATTCTAGATCAGTAAGCGGCATTCCTGGTAGAAGGTCAACCCCTGAAAAATCTGACGAGCTTAATGTTAACTCTAACAGGATGTCTACGACAAAGTTAAACAAGAATGGAGAGAGTGGACAGCCCTGACGGACACCACTTGATGTAGAGAATTCAGATGACAGTTCGCCATATGCTCTCACCCGACCAGTGGTGTTCGAGTAGAGTGCTTGTATAAGGTTAATGTACTTCTTTGGTACACCTTTCAATGACAGACACTGCCACAGAACCTCACGATCCACTGAGTCGAATGCCGCCTTAAGGTCCAGGAACACGACTATCGTCGGACGTCTAAATGTGTGTCTGTGTTCCAGGACCTGTCGTAGTGTGAAGATGTGGTCTATACAACCACGTCCAGGTCGAAAACCAGACTGGTTTTCTCGAGTCTGCTCTTCACGAGCTCTAGTTAGACGTCTAAGTATAATCGAGGCTAACAATTTAGAAACTATATTAGTTAAACTTATTCCCCTGTGATTGTCACAAGAGGACTTCTGTCCTTTCTTGTAGATTGGGACAATTAGCGACTGAGACCAGTCAGATGGGATTACGTCCATTTCCCAGATTCTACCTAGGATCTCGGTCAGTTTAACCGTTAAAACTGGACCACCATCCTTAAACATCTCAGGGGTAAGCCTATCGGGACCTGCCGCTCTACCTCTCCTTAGATTTCCTATAGCTTTCTCAACTTCATGTAAACTGGGAGGACTTAAATCGATTTGCCATTCAGGATGACTGGAGATCGTGGGCAACCGAAGAGTGGCTGAAGGCCAGTTGAACTGATCCCCAAAGTGTTCTGCCCATCGGTCCAGCCTCCTAGATTGAGAATGGATAATAAGACCATCCTTTTCCGAGATAGTCTCACTTACATTCGGGTTCCTAATACCGGTTTCTTTGATAAGGCGGAAAAGTTGTCTACTACTGCCGATCGCCGCTGCCTTTTCCATCGCTTTTGCTTTCGCCACCCACCACTGTTCACGGTCGTTACGTAGGCTTTTTATAAGTCTGCGCCTAAGTTGAGTACGCTCTTCATCATGTTCAGAGTCAGGTGGGATGCGTTTTCGTGCATCCATCAGTTCGGTGGATGGGACTGAAATCCACGGCTTCATCGTAGCCTTATGGTTTACCTTGCTAGCAGATATCACTGCTGTTTCCACAGCCTTCTTGATATGATTCCAACCTGCTTCAGGATGGGAATCACTTGCATGATCGCCTAACTGTTTTTCTAGTTCCTCCTGAAATATTTTCTTAGCTTGATTATCATCAAGTAAAGCTCTAAGAGGCTTCCTTACGGTGTCTTTCCTACGTCCAGCAAGCCTCAAACAAATACGTGCTCGCACTAGGGCATGATCTGAATCTAAACATGTGCCCCAGAACGAGCGACAGTCCTCTATCGAACCCCTCCATCGGTGGCTGATGGCGATATGATCTAGTTGTGTCCAACGTTGAGACGACTTCGGGGGTCGCCAGGTCAAAAGGTGTTTTTCTTTATGCTTAAAATTAGTGTTTGCTAGAAATAGTTGGTTATCTGAGCACAGTTGCAACAGACGGTCACCATTGTCTGTTCTTTGAGCCGCGAGACCGTAACATCCGCCTAGGTGTCTTTCATTTTCACTTAGTCTACCTACTTGTGCATTGAAGTCACCAGCCATTATAACTATATCAGAGCGCCTAGCTTTTTGGAGGAGGTCCGAAAGCTTTCTGTAAAACTCATCTTTTACATCATCTGGGCTGCAGTCAGTGGGGGCGTAGGCTGATATGACGAAGAGGCAACGGCGAGTGTCCCTATCTTTCCGAGTCCTTACTGTCCCGTTCAGTCGGACGGCGCACAAGCGACTATCTACTGGGATCCAGTCAAGGAGAGATTGTTCTGCCCTACGACTCAATGCTATACCTACACCGGCGAGGCCCCTAGAAGCAGCATCAGGGCTACCGGATACACGAAGGGTGAATCGAGCTGCTTCTTTATCTTGACATGGTGAGGTCAAATGAGTGATGCTACTCGGATCCTGTATGCGCGTTTCCGAGACGCAGCACACATCGATGGAACGAGATTCTAAAGTCCTAGCTAATGATGCCTGTTGCCCTATTTGACACAATGTCCGTACATTGAATGCTCCAACATGTAGTTTGGAATGGGGTTTAAGGAGACCAGGAACGACGTTTCGCAAACTCGCATCGTCTGCATTAGCTGTGCACTGTAATGAATGAATCTGAGAAGGGTTAGTTGTGGAGATAAGAGAGGTATTAGGGAATGTAGGAAGGATTTGATTTTGAACAATTTGGTCTCGTGTGCTGTTACGGGTATGAGGGCGGTTGTCACTTCCCGGCTGCCCACACCGTGGAAGGTTGTTTCTTGACGAACCTGAAAAGGAAGATGGATTAGTGTTGGTGCGTGACCGCAGAGTCCAAGGGACGACTGCTTGAGGCCGGTCACGCACGGCCTTTTTATGAGACGTTGTTTGAGGATTAGCTCCGTTCTTAAAGGCCCTTAGTGGGCACCCTTACCCAAGGAGACGGAAATCCGTGAGGTAGGGGAGGTGTGACATTTTTAGGGCCGACCTTTTCTAACCCTTCCTTCCTTGTGAGAAGGCAGCATCGCTGCAGATGCTGGTTGTCCGAGGGAAACACCTTACTGCTGTCACACCCCTCCATCACAGTCAGCAGTACGACTTCGCCCTCAGACCTTGAGTAGCTGCTTTTAGTCTCATCGTTCTCCAATCGACCTGCCTGGCATGGTAGGACCTGCAGGAACATGTGTTCCAGCCAGTATAGCTCGGTTGGGTCATCACGATAGGCAAGCCCGACCACCACGTCAAGGTAGCAGCTTCGGTCGGGTGAACGAGAACACAGGTGGGGCAACCGAATTGTATTTAACGAAAATTACAGAGTTACTCAGTAAAATTGGAAAAACCATATCGTAAATCGTTCATTTGCAAAATATCAGTCCATGATATCGAACTGGACTGTTCTTGTTGCAAAACATCAATCCATTGTCACTCACTATTCATGCGTTTCATACAAATTCCATTGTTTTCGAACTCTTCCTTTCTTGATCTTACCCCATCTTCGGCTGCCAGACATTACGTTGACACTCACGTCATATACTACTTATAAGTAGCTCGCACCACAGCACCACAACAGAACCTCACGATCCACTGAGTCAAATGCCGCTTTTAGGAACACGACTATTGTCGGACGTCTAAATGTGTGTCTGTGTTCCAGGACCTGTCGTAGTGTGAAAATGTGGTCTATAAAACCACGTCCAGGTCGAAAACCAGGCTGGTTTTCGCGAGTCTGCTCTTCAATTATAATGGAGGCTAACAATTTAGAAACTATATTAGTTAGACTTATTCCCCTGTGATTGTTACAAGAGGACCTTTGTCCTTTCTTGTAGATTGGGACAATTAACGACTGAAACCAGTCAGATGGGATTACGTCCAGTTCCCAGATTCTACCTAGGATCTCGGTCAGTCTAACTGTTAAAACTGGACCACCATCCTTAAACATCTCAGGGGCAACCCTATCAGGACCTGCTGCTCTACTTCGCTTCAGATTTCCTATAGCTTTCTCAACTTCATGTAGACTGGGACGACTTAAATCAATTGGTCATTCAGGTCTAAATTTATATGTATATATATATATATATATATATATATATATATTCAGACCATAAATTTAAGTTCAACAACTGTCAAATAACTCTTTTTCTCTAATTTGGAATAGACATAATTATTTTAGTGCTAATTACCATTTACAGTGCGAAGTAAAACTTGGATCAGAATGAACTAGGTCACGTAGTTCCGTCTTTCGAGGTATCGAATAAAAACAGGTCGATAAAGCAGGTTGGAACAAACTAAAATGAACACCCTGCCGTTTTGAGTGATACTATCTGGAAAACAAACAACTGTTTGTAGATTACGAAATTGCACATGCTACGACGTCAGTGTTCATGGAACTTTTTCAGATGAAAATTACTCAAACTATAATGCAATGAAGTTAGTTACACAACACCACCTCTGCCGTCTAAACACATGTGATTTATCTTACTGTATTGTTTCGTATTAATTGAATCGAATTCTTATAGTGAATGCAATACACAGATAGGTTGTATGATGTTAAGAAATCGAGTCTGTCAGTGATAGATAATATAGGATTTAGTACGAAATCGAATCAGTATTAGCTACCACCTTACACAAAATGAAGGGCCGAATCGATGTGACAGTGGTGAAAAACTTGATAATACAGAGAACGTGCTCAAGATAATCTCATTGAATCTAACTGCATCACTATGACAGATCTTAGGACCAACTACAGAATGTGAATGTCGTGCAAATCCTAGCACTCCAACATGATTGATCCGAGTTAACAGCTTCATTGGTTTGACTCCCCTAGTGTTCTTTTTCAACCTTTTCCTACTCCGTGACCAGAAGTGGACTTCTCTCCAGGTTGGCTAAGAAAGTGTAAAGCATGCCGCTGAAGCCAACAGATGTTCAGAAATTAACTATTTAACTTTTTATCTAGTAGCTTACATCTAACCTGAATATTTGTTCAATCAACAGAAAAATTCGGCAAAAGTTAAAGACTTTTGTATGTGTATTGAATTATGTCAGTTAACAAATTCACCAGATCGTCGAGATATTTAGAAGAAGTCAGTCAGCTGATCGACACATGTGATAACTGTATTTCAGAATGAATCGTTGTCACAGACTAGTTTCGGTTTTACTATACTTTTCTAATTTGTAAGGAGAGAAATGCATTTTTCAGGCATTCTTATTTTGTCATATAAAGAGATCAAAAGAGGGTAAATTTTTTTGGTACTTTCTACAAACAAAACTGTAGCAAGCAACCTCAGACTGTGCATTAAGTAATCTCTGAACAGAAGATCTCTAATCGAAAAAGTCACCTCTAGGAGAATATCAAAATCAAATGAAAAAATAGGGGGGGAATAATCAGTGCTAAAGAATGTCTTTTGATACAGCCGATTCAAGTGACAGTTTATCATAATCTCTGAATCGAGCAATAGTATTTGATTATGTTTTAATCATCTATCATCTCCTAGAACTGGATTTTATCAGACACACAGATTACCAATTTCACCACATTTTGTAACTACTATTGTATAAGGATTGGATTGTAGATAAAAAAAATTCCTAATGAGTAATTAATTCCACAGGACAGAGTTGGTTGGAGAAAACTGGTGGGCGGCCGCCTATGCTTCATTCGGGGTAACAGGCGTAAGTAAGTAAGTAAGTAATTCCTATTTAGAAATGGGTTTTTATGATGAATTGTTAATGACCAATGAATGAACATTGGAAATACAAAGAGGATTTACCACGTATTGTATCATAAATTATGTTACGTAATATCACTGAACTTATAAAATCAACCATTGTTAGACCATCATTAAAAAAGCCTAGAAGTACTGGACGGCAGTTTCGTCCTCGTAAAGAACTCATCAACAGTGAGCATCCATGACTCCTTCTACTCGCAAGAATCTAACAGTGATTGATTCACGATTTCACTTCAACAACTCTATAATGAAAAATATGTTAAGTGAACCAAGATTTGAACTACATTCGTTAAAAAAAGAATGCCAACAAACAATAAATTCACTTGCATACTCAACAATTACTTACTTTATATGCCGAATCACGTTTAGTAATAGGAAGGCTAGATAAGTATTGAACCCTATACAATTACAGACAAGAAATAAATTTCATTATGAAACAATAATATGTGACTTTATGGTTATAAAACAAAATGTTATCGGTAAGAAATTAATTAATAATTTACGCCATGAAATCGTAATTCAACAACGGTAACTATGATAAATACTTGTTCAAAAAAAAGTAAGTAATTTTAATTGCGAAAGTATTCTGATGATTTCATTTTCATTTCTTCATTTGTTGTTTGAACACACAGACACTTGTGTACTAATGAGCATCAAAATAAAATTATACTTTTGTTGTATATTCAAAGACCTAAAAAATATCAAGGTCATGTAACCGCGACGACTATGTAAAAATAAAAAACGTGATTTGCTCTTACATGAAGTACGGGGATTTATGCCCTCAGGCGTTAGCTACACATTGGTTGTTGCATCAAGGTTAATGATATTCTAGACAGTGTTACAAACCGAGATAAATGAAGTGGAATTTGAGAGTACAGCTGGTAGACTGGAAGAAGTCCGGTATTTACACCAGAAAGTCATCGCTCTAATAGCTAGAAATACCAGTACACAATGTTAAAATAGAAAACATCGATGTTTGGTAACATACATTCACTTACGTATTTTCATTAGATGGTGGTATTATTCGCGATTTATTCGACTGTAATACATTCATCACTCCGGAACTTTGAAGATTTGCACTTGAAACTGTACTATCTGAATTATAATTTTCATGAATAACCGGTAGAGTAGAATTAGTTGTTGAAATTGCTGTAGTTGATTGTTGAATAGCAGCAGAAAGACCACGAGATTCTAACATAGCTAATTGAGAACTAGCTACACGACCACCAACTGCTACAGTTTGAGGTGTAGTAGTACGTGAAGGTTGAGTGGTAGGCAATGAAACTTTTGGTTTAGATAGATTTTGTAAATTGGTTTGATTTGTTTGACGTGATGGTTGAGTTGGCATGCTTTGTTTTACTTGAGTTTGTTGTTGCTGTTGTTGTTGTTGTTGTTGTAGCTGTTGTAACTGTTGATTTTGTTGTCTTCTTTCTGTGTTTAATAATGTTTGTGAACGTTCAACAGTTTCTTTAGCCAAATGATATAAATCTCGTTTGTGAAAAAGTAAACCAGGTTGAAATCGACAAATTTGAGCAGCAGCTTCATTTAAAGCTAGCTATGTTTTGTTTTAAAAACGAAAAATGTGAAAATATTCCAGTATGAGTAATTAATTCATTTAAAAATAATGTTGATCACAATACAGTACAGTACACCTCTTCTCTATGCAATGCAATTAGTTGCTCAGTATATTTAACAGTCAGTCAGTCAGTCAGTCGGTAATGTATTTAAAACAAGGAGTTAGGGGCAGTAAAATAATCATGAAAATATTCATCTAGGCTTGAACTTTTAGAAACAAAATTCGAGTATAAGCAAGCAGTATTTTAATTAAAGCTACGGAGTGGTTAAACCAAAACATGACACACATATCTATGGATTGATTCATTGACAACTGGATTGAGCCATGTTAGTAGGTAGGTGTAGACTACTTGGTTGAGGACCACCGGTTGTAAAAAACTTTGAATGACATGGCTCAAAGTTGTTTGCAATGGTGCATATGCATCCATTCTTTGTCTTTTCACAAATTACAATCATCTGAATAACTCATGACTTCTCCTTTTTTTCTCTTTTTAAATTTATTTTACTGGATAATACTGTGGTGTGAGCTACTTATAAGTAGTATATGACGTGAGCGTCAACGTAATGTCTGGCAGCCGAAGATGGGGGAACAACATCAAGAAACGAAGAGTTAGAACACAATTGAATTTGTATGAAACGCATGAATAGTAGTGACAATGGATTGATGTTTTGCAACAGGAACAGTCCAGTTCGATATGATGAACTGTTATTTTGCAAATGAACGATTTACGATATGGTTTTTACGATTTTACTGAGTAACTCTGTAATTTTCGTTAAATACAATTCGATTGCCCTCACCTGTGTTCTCTTTCACTGCAATACTTCTGGAGTCATAACTTCGATCCCTTATCTTCTCTATTTCTGCTAATACAACTACTACCTTTACAACTATAGGGATTTGGAACTGTTAATGCCAATCTATCTGTGCTAACGTGACATGGCGTGACATGAACTGATGTTTCCATACGTACCAAGTCCTATACTGCAGCTGACTGACTGACTGACTTTTATCAAAACTGATAGTTAGAAATTACAATCACATTTTAGATTCGTTTGTCAACTACTTTTCTCAATCAGGGAAGGAAAACAGAGTGGCAAACAGAGATTCAGATTTCAAAGTCACTATCCCCGTAGGATACAGTAAATTCTTACAGTACAGAAGCGTCATAAGTCATGGAAATCACGTCTTTTTGCGGTGCGACTACGAAATGGAATTATTCTGTTTGACTGTTTTAATTAACAATGATTAGATGGGTTTTTTTAAGTGTTGATTATATAATTATATTCGTAAAGGTTTTAGTCAGACTGTTAAATTCATATACGCGTATAAGTGAATCAGTAGTTATAAAAAATATATATGCGTAATTCAGACACACACACGCACACATTCTCCACTCATCAGATAACTGAACGTTATCAGTAACCATAAAGATAAACCGAATTTTAATAATTTAAAGAACTTCCCATAAAATACACTGTCATAAACTATGTTACACACTGTACTACACTGTTTTACACAACTAACCTCATACTTAGTAAGCGCTCGAGAATGTGGTCCAGAAGGACGATAAATTTTAGCATAATTCCTTAAAGCTTCATAAAGTTCCAAGGTTTCACCTTGACTAGCACCAACCCTGTATGAATTGACCATTTCTAGCATTTCTACGTAAGCATTATAAGGACCAAGCTTCCGATGATATGGTTCAGGACGATATGGATTATCAGAAAAGCGTGGAACACGCGTAGCAACGACGACCTCTGCTTGTTTTCTTAGGATAGCATAAAATTCGGATGGTAAACCTGGTGGACACCATTTGGCTACAGTTGATCCAGCTTCTGTATCACCTGATGATTCTTGTGGAGCATTGAAGTTCTGTTGAGTATTTTCCGTCATTTCTGTTTCAGTTGTAACCACTAAAGTAGTCTACAGAATGAAAATAAAGACTTTGGTTAGAAAACTGAATGACAAACACAAGTAACAGTAGGTTCAAAATAACATTGTCAAACAATAGGTAGAAAACATAACTGCTTTTAGATTAGGGTAAGACAGAAAAATAACTAGCACTCCAGTGCTACACATGGTTTGGTAAAACGTTCAAAAAACTAAGGTTAGACTGTAAGATATCGATGGCCTTGAACAACTGAAATAGAGCTGGCTGATGTTTAGTATTAGTGTGGATTAAAAACTGCGCTGAAGACAGCTTGTTACTAAAAATTATGATTTTACTTACATTTCGTATTTTCAAAACACTGGATGATGACATTCTTATGGGATAAACTATGCTACGGTTAGGAATGTTAATCGTGTTAAAACTTTGAATCACTTAACTTTATCATTTTCCTACGCTTTTTACAATAACTGCATTCTGATTGGATATTTCTATGGTTGATTAACCTTGAGGTTATTCTGAAAATATCTCAGGGACCTCGGTGCAGTATAGTCCTATTGAAATAAAATATCTACCAGATATAATACAAGATTGTGCGAGAGAATATTTACTCACAAACTGAAAGTCATAGAAGCTAAGGTAAATATGCATTCAGATAGACAAGAAAGACTTACCAAAATTGGATCACCAGTTTCAGTCGGTCCAAGAAATACATACTCTAAAGAGCTACCATTCATTTCAATAATGACATGATCACCGGTATGACCTTGTTTTTGATCAAGTATATTTCCATTTTCATCAGAAAGTATAACAAGCTGAAGTGCCTCACCATCCACTAACGTAGTAGCTTCAGTAAGAGTAAACTGTTGACCAGGTGGATTTGTTTCAGTTATTTCATCAAAACCAGAAGTAACATGGTTTCGATCAGCGCCATTAGAAATACCCTAATCAAATATTAAACAGTCAGCATAAATATGTACTTTAAAATTTCAAATAGTTTTCAAAATCATCCCAATAGATTCATTTTGATAAGTAATACACTTTGCAAGGTATTCTCAATGAAGCTCATCAAAAGCGAAAGATAAACTCAGAATGTTGACACATTTTCTGAATTGCAATTTCTCTACAAGCAAGTAGTAATCTAAAGAATATTCAAGGCAAATGAACTACATATGCCACTTCTCCCATAGGTTGACCACATACAAAATTATTTGGGCGGTTTGTTTTACCAGTATTTTTCTTAGTTCGTTTGATAAAAAAAAAATGCTTTGGACTTTAAAATATTCTTAGTCAAACAAATATGAACATCGGTTTAGGACAGCAACACATCCCAACAACGCAGTAAAAAAGAAATTAGTATGATGAAAAGTGAAGGATGTTATAACATAACAACTAGTATTAAAAATCAAACACAAGAAATTTGATTGAAGAGAAATGATATTCAGTAATGAGATACAGAGGTATGAAATCTTAAGGTCGTTTTATAAAAAAAACGAAAATTTGGCAATTGCATCTGTGATCATTTAAATGGAAATCTGACGGCTAGTGTTACGGTAAATCGCTTATCGAGTAAAGCCTTATGTATTCAGCTTGACGTCACATTTACACGAGACCTGATGATACAGCCTGAATCCCCGATATGAAGTAGAAAGGGGTTCAAACTTGCAGCCGATTGGCTGAAAAACCAAATGTTCTAGTCATCAAGCCATTCTCCTCTGTTTGACAAACTAACAACAATCACACCATCCATGCTGAATGTATGTATTTGTTAAATGACAATGAAACAGACCGAGACTTCAGGCGATGGTGGAGTACAGAGTTAAATTTAGTTGATTTGATACTTGGAGTATTAAGCCTTGTTTATTCGACCCAGTTCCTTCTATTGCCTAGTATTCTAACACCACTTGATTGGTCTTCAAATAGGAACGCGGCTTGATTAGGAAAGTACTTATATTCTAAAACAGCAGCGAGTTAACTAAGTTTAAGAAACTGTGGCAAGACTACAATTAATGGACAAACTGGTGAGAGCTAAGAATAAACTTCTGGATTTCGAAGCAAAACTTATTCATTCATATGGCTAAATAGCCGTCAAATAGCGATGAGAACCCTGACCGTAGTTCTTAACCCGAAGTCTTAATCCTAACTTGAATTTCTCATATTAATTTATAACCTTCTTTTGACCCTATTAAGTGAATTTTCTCACAGTTACACTGGTATCGCTCAAAGGTCCTCCATAAATTATAGTCTCACAATAAGTTTTAGAATATTTACAATTTCCACACGGAATGATTTTAAACTTCTCTGCTTATTCAGTAGTGTTGGTTGACCAATCATTGTGTCCCAACACACTGCTGTATGGAATATGCTTTAACCGAATACATGTTTTGTCAATACAATGTTAATGTAGTCATGAATGCGAAGAAATGGGAAACTAGACACACCTTTAATGGATTGAACTAAAAAGTCAGTGAATCAGATCCCCAATAGGCATCACAGTTATTTCAGATGCTAAACTGATGCAACCAAGTGACTGAAAGCAAATTGAGTATTAATGTTGGGAGAACAGTTGGTCTACATTATTCAATAAATGTTCGACCTCGCTTTAGTGGATTTCGTGTAATAAATAAGGCTAAAGGCTTGTTACAAAAGAGCACTTAAATTATTATCTGCATAGGTCCCAAATTAAGGCAAATGAATGGTTGCTATGGTACATAAACGAGTCAAGTTAACAGACAGAAATAAAGACTAAATCATGTAAATTAAGATTAGCAAGCTTACCTCAGACCAGTTTGCTTGGTTATTAGTATTCTGCTGTGTACCACCATCGGCAATATTTGAAACATCTTGGATATCTTGATCATTAGTTGAAATCAACAGGGTAGACTGAAAAAGGTGACAAAATATAGCATTTAAAAAGAAATGTAAACTACAAATCAAAGGACATTTATTGATCCAGAAAGATAAAGACTATAGTTGTTAGAAGAATGTACAACCAATTTACACTCCGATTTACAAAGATGTAGAAGTTAGCGAAACTACACAATTATAAAGCAAAAATCATTCGTGAAAGGTGTATAACCTAGCACAAACGTGAATTTAAATTGTACTGTACCTGAGACATATGAGTTAAAAAAAAACGAACCTATGCGATACTCTGTGTTTGGATCCGCATTGATCGTTTCATCAATTAATTTTAAGACCGAATATCTGTTATGAAGCATGCGTCCTGGATCCCATTGTTAGCAGCTATCCATCTCTTACTGTGCAGTGGTTCGCTCCGTCTTACTTTATGGCTGTGAAATATGGCCAGTGAGAGTAGAAGATATTCGTAGGTTACTGGTTTTCGATCATAGGTGTCTTCGAAGCATTGCCCGTATATCGTGGGACAACCGAGTGAGCATGATCTAACAAAAACTACTGTTTCGAACAATTAAGAAGTGATTCAATAAGCAACATAAGCTTGGACATGACAGCAGCTGCTTGGTCACGTAAATAAACAACATGAAGAGTGAGTCTCAGTTGATACCTAGGGAAAGATTCAAGTTAGGGAAAACAGCAGAGCAGCAGTCAGCAACAAACAAATACACAGAAGCGAAGGAGCCATCAAATAAAATTTGGAACTCAAAACAACTACCACACAACACCGGAATCAGAATTTACAACACTGATATTAAAGTACCTCCATTGTACGGAGCAGGAACTTAGAGGAATAGTAAAACTATCACTTTCAGTTACAGGTGCTTATAAATAATGTTCAGTGCAAGATACTTCAGATCCGTTGATCAGACAACATTAAAAATGAAGTGGAAATCAAGAAAATTATACTAGAGTTAGGTAAATCTATCCACGTTGTTGCTGACTGACGGACTGACTGAAGTATATGAGTCACAATTTACTGAAATGAAACTACATCGCAAAGCACAGTCACAAAGTGAAAGGAAGAAATACCAAACACACTGTGACCAACACTGGGTGCAGATATTTGAAGGATGAACTACACTTGGTAACGAGTAAGGACGAGAGACGAGAACAGTATGTTACAGACACCTGGTTTGTATACACCTCAAGAGGCGTAACAGACTTTAGTAAGCAAATCTCGCAACTACTGGCAGCAGCAAGAACAGGCAATATTGTAACTTTACTGACATATAAATTCAAACAAAAGAAAAGCAAGATTAACATACAGTTATAACTTCACCAGTTGGTGTAGGACCCTGAATCTCGTACGAAAATGCCTGTCCATGCATTTCTAGTATCACTTGTTCTCCTGTTTGTCCTTGCTTTTGGTCCAAAACTTGTCCACGGGAATCCATAATTGTCACAACTTGAACCTGATTGTTATCTACTACTGCTGTCTGTTCGTTTAGTGTGTACTGTTCGACATTTTCTACCAACGAAGTAACGTCAGATGTATCAATCTCGTTTGGATTAATTAAAGGATCACCACCGACATCGCCAAGGCCAGACACAGGTGATTTACTTATTTTTACATCTTCGGGATCGGTTTTGTTGATGACATCCTCGTTATTTGATTTATGACAATCAGGATCATTCAGTTCCTCAGTAACAGCTGAGATTGGTTGATCGCTAGGCACATCTGCTTTGGACTATTATTAAAAGCTTTAGAATTCCGTATTTTGAACTCACCTGTTCAACAACTTCCAAGTCACCGTCAGCTACTGGAGTAAGAGTTAGAACCTGTTTGCCTTCTTCATCTATGGCATTTTGTAGCGTTGCCTGACCAGACAAAATCTTCTTGGCATCCTCAGGTGTAACTAAAGCACATCCAGTAGCATCATCATTTTCATCCATAAAAACAAGCTTGACAAGATCCTGTCCTGAATCATCACGAACTATTTCAAAACCATGAGCGACCAGTTCATCAATTAATTTCGACATAGCAAATCTCCCGCTCTATACATGAACTCGATTCCAAAGTTCAATATCTCAATGTAGCAATTGATTTGAATGAATATGGTCTAAATGGAAGAAGCTTTCGCTTAACTGGACTCTGCATCAAGTATCAGTGGATTATCGATGCATCCTGGTATTGTCACTTAGAAAAAGCTAAATATTAGTGAATAATGATGAGTCTTTAGCGGCTCAAAACTTGACTCCAGTCTGGACGAATGATCGAGTGTATAATGAAATAAGTCTTTTTTTATATTTCCAAATAGAGGCAAACAGAAGAATTGGCTCACTCTTCTCCGATTTGTGTCGGTTTGCTTGTCTGCTTACCATTCTCATTACTGAATGAAGGAAATAAATTTGTGCACAAAACCGTAATTGGCATCTTACTAACAGAGTCGCACAAACCGGGTTAGCCTAATTATAATATACGGAAGTGGAAAGGAAGACTTATTTAATCACACACTCGATCATTCCTCCACACTGGAATCAAGTCACCAGCCGATAAAAGTCTATCAGATTTCTTCTTGAAGGACTATGTGAAGGAGGCTTTTAAAACCTCAGTTGACAAGGAGTTCTAGAATTTAACAAGCTGTAAAGAGTAGAAGTTGTTACTGCACTCCATTTTGTTGTGTTTGAGCCTCTAGTCTCAGGGTTTTACAGATAAACTCTGTGATGAAACTAAGCCTAAGTAAGTATTTTAGGAGATGCTCAGAAGTATATAGGATGCAATGAGTCACTAGAAAGTCATCCCTGAGAGGCCTACATTTTAATGGGTAGGTGTAGAATTCTTTTTGAATGTTTTGTTTTTGGGAAAATCCCTCCATGTTTACATATTTTTGCCATGACCTGATGGACTTTTTCTCTTGACATTTTTGGTATTTTATTTGATTCCAATTTGAGATTTTACCATTGTATGTTGTTATTCTTTCCATATTTTGTACCTATATTGAAGTTTTTGTGTTTGCTTCTGAATTGTACATATATTGTTTAAATTTGATATAATATGGCTACCGCCACATTTTTGGATAGACGCAGTGGCTGCTGAACTTAGTGTCACTTACTAGCTATTGTAATAGATACTCTACGGAGTAATTTAGTCCTGGAAGAAACATAAACATCGTAAGTCTCTGTATTTCCATTTTTTATAACAATAGAGACGGTTTTCTCCTAGAATTTTCGGCTTTCTGATTTGGCTGGGACGGGGATCTAGGAGAATCGTACCGGTGTGTTTCTATTGGACGCGATTAGGACAGCCGCCGGCGAAATAAATTCTACAGTCTGATGTTTGCTCTTCTTGCGTGAATTATACTTGGAAATATTTACCAGAACGAAACATTTGGAATTTAATCGTTTATCATACTAGACTTCCTTGGAGGAAGACATTGGAACTACGTATCATTAATTTTGAACTGAAATTTGGATTTATTCTATTTTGTATCGTTAACGTCTTTACTGGACTTTATTTATGATGTCAAACCGAAAAAAATCACACGTGAGGAGGGTGGAAGAGCTCGACGGATCACAGGGCTCTAGGCAAGTCGTTAACGATAAGCTTTTTATGGGTAACCCACATGTTATGTCTGATATTTATTATTGTAAGTCATCGATAGAGGGTTTAGAATTACCTAAGGTTGAACTTTCATATTTTGATGGAAGGTCTCGCGACTATTTTAAGTTCATACGACAGATAGAGACGTTTATAGAACCTCGAATCAAGGATGATCAAGTGCGTTTATTGTATTTAATTCATTATTGTAAGGGAAAAGCTAAAAATGCGATCGAAGGCTGTCTTATAATGGACCCACAGGCAGGATATAAGAGAGCTAAGGTTATTTTAAAACAGCTTTTTGGGCAGTCACATGTGATAGCGCGAGAAACCTTAGAGGACTTATTTAGAACTGGGAATGTCGAATTTAATGATCCTGAATCATTGACGAACTTGGCCATTAAAATGCAGAATGCTTCTTTAACTTTAGAACAGTTAAATTGTACAGCTGAACTTAACTCTATGGCTACTTTAGAACGAATAGTAAGGCTCTTACCTCGTCGAATGCAAGCCCAGTGGGCAGAGCTAGTATTCAAGTGGGACGAAGAGGAGAGAGAGCCCAATTTTAACGAATTGACGGAATTTATTATGTCTCGTGCTAAGATAGCTGGTAGTAGGTTTGGAAGATTAGCTTATCAGGCTAAAACAGGAAATAATAAGGAAGCTACTAGTGGTCTGCGTGCGAGACATTCGGATTCTTCGTTTCTACCTAAAGCATACTCGGAAGATAAGAGAATTGTCAATTATATCACGAAAGCATACCCTGATGAAGGACGAGTACGTGACCGTAACGATGTAAATTCTCTTGATGCGTGTCCTAGCAAGAAGCCGGTTTGTGTAACAGATAAGATGGCTTTTCTATGTGTAGAAAAGAAAGAAAAAGGCGAAAAGTGTAGGCATCAAGATGGATCCGAAGTGTGTGACGATAAAAGCCTCTTAGCTGCTCGAAAAGCCTGGAACGGTAATTTGGATTCGAGTAATCAGAGGTTAGTGAGTTCAGCAAATATGAATAAAGCCCAGGCAGGATTGACTGAACGGAATAAAGCTTATTTTCGGAACCCTTCAGTTAGGGTAAATTATATAACTGGACCTAGAGTAGCTTCTAGGATAAGTGATGGTGATACAGTAACGGTTAAGAAGCCTAGGAGACATGATGCTACTATTACTAAAAAGCCTGAACCTCATGCTCTTACGGATGCCACGACTAGCTATAGAAATAGTAGCCATCAGAACCTTGGTAGTGACAGTGATAAGGAGGAGATAGAAAGTGTCAGCAGTTCACTTATAGGGACTAGTTTATCGACTTCATCGAGTGAGCCTCCTAGTGTTTCGACGCCGTTGGACCTCGTCACGAAGGTTAAGTCGATTGAAGATGCACAAGGTTGTGCAGCTGTAACTGTTCCTATTACGGTTGACCGTCAGTCGAGTGATGATGAGAAGAAAATGTTTGATGGTAACAGACAGTCTACAGTGCTGTGTGATGACGATGCTATTGTTGAGCATATGTCTTGTGCCGCGGAAACGGATGCTAATGTAGAACGGAATCATTTAGACGTTGATAATAAACTGGATGTCACTGAGGTGACAAATGAGTTACCGACGATGATGAACACTGTTCAAACCTCCTCTGCATCAGGAGATGGAAGGATAAATATTGATCCTACGTCATGCTACTTAAGGTCTTCTGGAGACGACGAATTGTCAAAATTGGAAATCTCACCCTTGCATATTAGTTATGGGTCAAAAACTTCTGTTGATAAGTTGGCATTACGGACTTCATGGTATCTGCTGATCAGAGCAAGTGGTGGTGGATTGGCGACTCGTCCCCACGATAGAGAATGTAGTCCTTGGATAGGATATGACCAGTTTTGCGACGCGTTGTTCATGTTCGTATGGGTTAATTGGGGAAGGTTTATACTACCGTTAGGTCATTCCACGATAGATAGGGGAATCAAGGGCCTGATGGGAAAGTATAGGTATCTAGTTAGCGCGATAGGTCATATCCATGTTGGATGGCGGGTAGGCGTACTGCTGTAAGTCCTACACGTTATTCCGGTGTGGATTAGGGGATAACATGGGAACCCTAATTAAGGTGTCGTTAACGCTTGCTGTTTTTGCATGGAGGGATTTTGCGGGCCGGTGTAGAATTCTTTTTGAATGTTTTGTTTTTGGGAAAATCCCTCCATGTTTACATATTTTTGCCATGACCTGATGGACTTTTTCTCTTGACATTTTTGGTATTTTATTTGATTCCAATTTGAGATTTTACCATTGTATGTTGTTATTCTTTCCATATTTTGTACCTATATTGAAGTTTTTGTGTTTGCTTCTGAATTGTACATATATTGTTTAAATTTGATATAATATGGCTACCGCCACATTTTTGGATAGACGCAGTGGCTGCTGAACTTAGTGTCACTTACTAGCTATTGTAATAGATACTCTACGGAGTAATTTAGTCCTGGAAGAAACATAAACATCGTAAGTCTCTGTATTTCCATTTTTTATAACAATAGAGACGGTTTTCTCCTAGAATTTTCGGCTTTCTGATTTGGCTGGGACGGGGATCTAGGAGAATCGTACCGGTGTGTTTCTATTGGACGCGATTAGGACAGCCGCCGGCGAAATAAATTCTACAGTAGGTATTCAGTGACTTAATGGGCTCTTCAAAATATTTTAACTTGAGTCCTTTTAATGATCTTGTGACTCGCTTTTGGACACGTCCCAATGTTTTCTTGTCATTTTATGGTGAGGTAAAAACACTGTATTTCCATACTCTAAATGGGTCTGAATGAAGTTGCATAAGGGTAGTGTGATAATTAGAAGTATGTGAATCAAGAACTAAAGATATGCACAAACGAATGTATTGTATTTAGAATTCGAAATCAAGCATTCCACAACAACAACAAGTTACTAGTTCATTCAAACACCACATCCGCCACAGCTAAAATTGGAATGTATATGTCTGTAATCAATTGTACGTCTTCTTCTCAAATTCATCCTGTGTCTGTCCGACAGTGTATTGGATAAAGGCTCTGTATTATCTAGAATGCTCTCATTAGTATTAGAATTAACAACCGAAATTGGAACAGACACACCTGGTTCTTGAAATTGTATTTGATCAACATGTCGATTGTGTGTACTTAAGTCATTGATATCTAGAAGTCGCACCATAGATTTCCCGACATTCTTCAGAACGATCCCCGTGGATGGTCGAAGATCATTGCCACGATAATATGTAACTTCTGCAGACTCCAAACATCTCATATTCGACCGAAGAATTCTTCCTTTTAATAGTTTTGATGGAGTCTCCTTCGTCACCGAATGTCTGGCATTTCTAAATTGCAGTACAAAGGTATCTACTACCCTCTACAGCTCATTAAATGTTGAGGCGGCAATAGAATCAATCCACTTCGAATGCTGATTTTTCAGCTTATGACAC